CTCCCCCCCTTCCTGCCCTTCCGCCGCCTCCGGCCGGCACTGCACACTAGTCACTGCACCGGGACCGAGCCGCCGACCCGCACTCGCTGCCTGGCAGGCCACCGGCTGGCGGGGCGTCGCACTGGGCCGCAGCGACTCGGCGACGTCGCACCGGCCAGCAGGCTCGGCTGGCTGCAGCCCCAGTAACACACACCAAACCTCGGGATGCGACATGCGTCCGTGACACCGCCCCACCGCCCCGCCGGCGCAGGATACAGCCGCGCCTCGCGCGGCGGCTTGCGGGCTCTCGCATGATTCTGCTGCTTCGGGCCGATGTGCCGCCGTGAGCTCCGCTCCCTCGCGCGTATAGGAACCCCTGCTCTGTATGTACTGTGGATCTCCAGGGCCTTGCTGTCGGGGGCTAGGTTGGGGGCGCCTGGGCGAGGGCGAGGGCGAGGGTGGGACTGACGAACTATCCGCATGACCGCATGAGACACACCAGAGAAAATGCGCCAACAAAACTTCAAAGATTTTTTCCCCTGAGAAAAAAGAACATTCAACATATACACACAGTCGTAATCAGTATGACGGAAGAGCGGAGTTCTAAAAACAAAAACCGAAAAGAACAAGGAAAAGAAATCGAGGGGGGGCTGTGACCCAAAAGGGGTGCGTGTGTGTGGCAAACAACTAAGCCCAGCCACCACCCGCCAGCGACGAAACAAAACAAAAGAACCGAGCGAAAAGAAATCGCTCGCGCAGTGGGGGGGGGGGGGGGTCGGAGCAGCGTGCTCACTCGTGTCCCGGCGTATGGGGTAGGCTGGAGAGGTGGACCGGACCTGCCGGCCGTGTTGTGTTCACGCTCAACTGCTGGGATTTCCGACTTGGCGCAAAGAATTTTTTGGCGCAGGCGCTGGCGAGGTACTCCCACGCCTCTCCGGGTTTTTGTCTGGCCGAGTCAACCCGAGACTGCGTCAGCTGTTCCCACAGCAGGCTGGAAGTACCTCGCCAGGGAAGGCGCTGTTTGGCAGGTGGTGCAACAGGTGCGGACAGCTGCGGACAACAGGTGCGGACAACCGCTCGTTCTCCACGTACGAGCGCCGAGGAGCAGCCAAACGTCACCGGCGCTCCCACGCCACCCCACCCGTTCGTGCCGGAAGCAGCGGGGCTGATGCCGCGTCCATCCTGACGGAGGTGGCGGCCATCTCGGACGTTCAAGCGGCGCCAGCCAGCGGCTCGGCCGCGCATCCTTCACACACGCCGCCACGACCAACCTGAGCGGGCCCGGTGTCGAGCCATGGTGCGAGCTGCATGTGAGGGGCGGCTGTGGCCACAGCAGGTCCACCAGACGGACCTCAAAGCTTGCCGTCGGCGTGCTGTCGTGGCGAGAGCGCGAGATCGCTGCAGAGGAGCCAAGTGCAGTGACGAGCCAGAGGCTACCTGGGTCACCAAGTGGTGGACCCTGCCCATTCTGAGCAGGGCTGTGCTTGGGTGGGGTTGTGCTTGAGCATGTGTGAAGTGGGAGTGCGTGCCTGCGGTGTCTGTGGGTGAAACAGGCGTGTGTGAGGCCGTAAGAGGCCTGGTATGAGCCAGAGTGGGCTTCATCACCCAAGATAAGGACGGTTTGGGACAGCTCAGGCTTGATACTGATGGGCCTGGGCCAGGAGAGCGACAGAGAAGGCGAGGTGGTGAGCTGGGAAGCCGCTTTGTCGGCACCTGGACGTGTCGCGATGAACTGCCAAAAAGCACCTTTGGCGGCTATTGCTCAAAACCCTGGGAGAGATGGCCTACATAGTATTACTGCATCCATGCGTCTGGTGCATGTGGGCTGTGGGTCGGGACATTTCACGGTCGGTGGCGCCGATATTGAGACCTCCGGAAAGCCCTCGCAATCGCTCGGCACGGGGCCACCGGGAGTGCTCTCGAGCCCTACACCGGAGCATCACGAGCCGGTGCGAGCTTGAAGACCCGAGATAAGTGCGGTCTGGGACAGCTCAGGGTTGCTACTGATGGGCTAGGCCAGGAGAGCGACAGAGAAGGCGAGGTGGTGAGCTGGTAATCCATCGCAAGCGACCCGGAGCGCGCAACCGCGCATCTCGCCGCCGCGGGGCTCCGACTGGTTATCTAGACCTTCCTTCTTCCTCCCTGTTCCTTCCTTTCCCCTTCCCATCTCTTCCCGGCCTCCGGCCGGCGCCTGCGGCGCCGTTCTTTTTTTTTCCTTTTCTTGCACCACTGTAAAAAAAATGCCATTTTTTGGAGCGCCGCCGCAGGTGCCCGGGGGCCGAGAGAGAGAGATGCCCTTCGAGCTCACGCCGACGCTCCGCGGTGCTGCGGGCCGTTACTGCGCCGCCTGCAGCGACGAGGACTCCGCGGCGCTCCGCCGGTACACGCGTCAGGACGCACGTGAGATCTCGCTCACCGACGTGCAGCTGCTCTCGCGGGCGCTCCGGCGGTTGCCGCGGCCAGAGGCGGGAGCGTCGGACGCGGCGGTGTGGGTGCACGAGCTGCTGCAGGGCGCCGCGCCCGTCCTCCCCGAGTTCAAGCGCGACCGCACGCCCCACCCTGAGCTCGAGCCGCGGCTGCAGCAGCTGCGCGCTGCGGCAGAGAATCGCGAGTACGCGGCGATGGTGAGCGACGTGTGCTGCGAGGAGGGCGACGGGCGCGACGCTGCCGAGATGAACACCTATCGCTCGCAGCTCGCGGTGGGCGCCAACTTGCTCGTCTCGATGGGCACGATGTTCGCGGTCGGCTACTGGGCGGGCGGCACCGAGGAGGAGCCGCACGGCCCGCGCGCGGCGATGTGCGGGCTGGCGTGCTGCATCGTGACGATGGTGGTCGAGATGACCCTCTTCGTCATCGGCGCCTCGAGAGTTGACGCCAAGCAGGACGAGCGCGCGAGGAAGGCGCGGAGAGGGCAGTCCGACCTGACCCGGCTGCGCGAGTTTTACCCGCGGGAGGTGGGCCCGTCCAAGCGCGGCACGTCGCAGTTCAGCCGCACCAGACTCAAGCAGTTCTGACTGTCCGAGCCGGCTCGGCAGGGCGCGCGCTGGAGTGCGTGGTCCGGGGGGGTTGCGTTGCGCGCGCTGTTTACGTTTGCGGCGGTACACGGTTGTCGGTTCGCGGGGCCCGGGGGGAGCGCGACACTAACGACTATGCATGTTCTGATTTAGGCTGTTTTTTAAATGATTTACTATCGTAATACGATCCGTCTCTCACGGCATTGGCAGCCACCTCGCATAGAGCCACCTCCACCCGATCACCACGACCAGACTGCCCGAGACGAACTCCGCCTCCGCCTCGAGCGGAAGGCCCAGCGCTGCAAAGCCGCCGGCAGAGAGGAGGAACAAGCTCGACCCCAGCCACGCCGCGGCGAGTGGCACCAGCGCGTCTCGCTGCAGCGTCCTCGTGACTGTCGGACTGTAGCCATGCATTTGAGAAGTGATGGCCACCCACAGTCCAAGCTGCAGAAACGAGCTTTTAGTGGCTATAAGCATAGGCACTGAGATTATGGTGCGCGCGGAGCGCGCTGGTGCTACTCGGACATACGCGCGGAGCGCGCTAGCTAGACACACGCGCGGAGCGCGCCGGCCTAGATACCGCGGAGCAGCAAGCAAATCAACGCAACCGTTCGAATGCCGCCGGTTGCCAAGGTGCGCCTGGATTGCTCAGCAGCACAAGGGATCCCACAAGCATCCACGGAGCCAGCGAGCGCCGAGCGACATTGAATTGACTGAGCCGGACCGGGACATGTCGGCGGGCAAACTTGTAAAATGGTTCCGATAGCCGAGGTAGCTCCGGCGGACGTGAGAGCACGGCCTGACGATCAAGCACGAGAGCGACGAACGGAGGCGCAGATAACTGGCGATGAACTCACTGCTGATACCTGCTGGAGCTGCGGAAGATGCAGTAGTACTGCCGCAGACAGAGCACCGCGCCGGAGCGCGCCGCTGGAAAGCACGCGCGGAGCGCGCCGCTGGAAAGCACGCGCGGAGCGCGCCGCTGGGTAGGCGCGGAGCGCTGCCATTTGAGACTGGGCCTGTGGGTGGGCCGAGTGGTTCCTAGCGTGTGAGTCAAACTCTAAATAGAGATCGCATCTAGCCCTCCACAACCCTCAAAATTTTCTTCGGGGCGCGCTCCGCGCGCGGCGCTCCGCGCCTCACTCCTTGAGCGTCATAGGCGCTGGCCCGCACATGTTCTGCAGCTTGGCCCACAGTGCTGCCAGGAGTAATCCCTGTGACTGGGCTGCCAGCACGGGCTGGCTCTGGGTGAAGAGCTCCGGCTGCGAAGTCGCGAGCGGTAGCAAAGCGGCATCGGTCGCGCCCTGCACAAGCCCGTAGCCTACGAGCACGCTGGCGTCGCCGGTGAGGACGAGAGAATCGACATCGTCCCAGTAGGAGAGGCGGAGAGGGTTGCCGCAGCGCGGCGGAGCAGCTCGAGGGCCACAAGAGACGTGCCGCGACGAGAACGACGCAGCAACTGGTAGGAGGATGTAGAACATGTGCCCCCGGGGGGGCACCGGGTCGCTCGCTCGCTTGGTGGTGTCGGAGGTTTGTCTGCGAAATACCTCCCCCGGTATTTATACCGGTAGGGACCACCCGCGCCGAATCCCAGCCCAGGAGTGTTGAGCCGATTCCTCGCTGACGGCCGCGCCGTTCGACGCGCCGCGCCCGGAGGCGGCCCGATCGCTCGAGAGGGTCGACGCGGCACGCCCAGAGCCGCGCGGCGCGCTCGGCGACCCGCTCGTTGAGGCGTACGGCGCCGCCGCAATCGACAGAAAATGGCGACGACAGCGGGCACGCACGCGGGCCCCCAGGGCGGGCTCGCCCCGGCCGCGGGTAGCGGAGAGGAGACCCAGTCACCGGGCAGATCGACCGCCTCGAGCCGATCGCCGGCCGCGCCGTCGCCGCCGCCCAACCTTGCCGCTTCGCGCCCCAGTACGCCGCCGCAGTCCCGCCCGCCGCAGCAGCCCCGCCAGACGCCGAAGCTGCTCCAGCGTGGGTCCCGACGGGGCGCCGGTGTCGCGCGGCAGGGCCACCCCCTCGCCTCCGACTCGCCGCCGTACGCCGCCGCCGGCCGTCACCCTCCTCTGGCACCCGCGCCTCCGCCCGCTGTGGCAGTTCAACAGATCCAGCCCAGCGTCCTCAACGTGTCGATTGGGGACTGCTCGTTCGTTCCGGCCGAGATACTAGGCGGTGCTGCCGTGCACTGGCGCCAGCGAGCTCCATTCAAATCCCGCGCGCGCGATCGGCAGTCGAGTTACAACCCGCAGCTGTGCTGTGTGCGCGGCGCGCGCACTCGAAACGTGGTTCGGCGATCTCTCGGCGACCACTCGTCGACTCGCGCTCGGACGCGAGGTGTGCGCTCGCCTGCCTCCCCCGGGAAGGACACGGCCATTTTCAGCGAGATCTGTGGAATCATCCTCACCACCCCCTGTCCTCACGCCACCCAACCCGTCCGGCTGCTGCCATACTGGGACGTGAGTGCAATATTTGTGCTGCCCTCGCCATCCGACGCGTGTGCTCCGCTCCCCGCAGGCGAGGATCGCCATCGCGCACCAACACGCTTCGTTCGGGAGGCGCGCGGCGCGACCCGCGTTGCGAGATCGTCGGCGGAGCCCGCGTGCTGGCCCTCTCCGGGACCGCCGCCGGGGCCCAGAGGGCGCAGATTCGGCCCACCAGGGTCCAAGAGGGCGGTTCTGACACCGCCAAGCGGTGCTTTCGTGTGGACCCCGCGAGCTCGCGTTCATCCCTTCAAAAATATTTATTCGCCCGCAGTTTGCCTCCAGTGCCTCTTTTTGGAGTTTACGTTTCGGACTATGTCGCTGCCCTTGCTGGGGCTGCTTGCCGCCGCTGCCGCCGCCGCCGCCGCGCCTGGCCGAGTAGTTGTAGTAAACCCCGTGCTAGCGGCGCGTGGAGTTCAGATGCTCTCACGACCGGGCTGCACGGGGAGCCGGAAGGCACACACGAACACTGACGCCGCAAAAGGGGCTTGGCCCGAACCGTGGGCTGGCCTGCCTGCCCGGCAAGGCCGAGATACCTGGCTACGAGTGGAGAACCTGACGATCCGGAGCGGCGCAGTCAGGCCCGCTGTGCCCGCTGTGCCCGCTGTGCCCGCTGTGCCCGCTGTGCCCGCTGTGCCCGCTGTGCCCGCTGTGCCCGCTGTGCCCGCTGTGCCCGCTGTGCCCGCTGTGCCCGCAGACAGGTGGTGCTCTGGGCCTGGCCGAGTGGTGGTCGTGGTACACCCCGTGCTAGCGGCGCGTGGAGTTCAGATGCTCGCACGACCGGGCTGCACGGGGAGCCGGAAGGCAACCACTGACGCCGCAAGAGGGGCTTGGCCTGAACCGTGGGTTGGCCTGCCTGCCGAGCACGGCCGAGATACCTGTCTAAGAGTCTCGGCAAGGGATGTGCCCACGTGGTGGGGTTGCCCATGTATGGCGGCTGGCTGGGTGGACGAGTGCGCGTTTATGCCCGTGTATGCTCACTGGCTGGGGTTGGCCTTGGTCGCATTGGTGATGGCCGTGGTGTGGGGAGCCGCTGGTGCACGGGGCGTGAGAGGATGGCCAGACCACGGGTGGCTCGCCTGGCGAGGCAGGCCGCCGGGCCTGACCACGGGGAGGCTGGGGCAAACCGGCACCAACACTACCACTGACAGAGAGGACACGAGGGGAACAATACCCAGGAACGGAGCACTCCACTTCGACCCGTCGTGGTACCCGTCCTGGCCCACATGGGGAGCATACGAACTCACGCCCAGCCAGTATGAAAAACGCAAACAGAGGGAGAGGCGCCGACCAAGTAGGATGAACAGGCGGAGGAGACTTGGACGGAGGGCACCAAACCGCAGGGCACTGACACAGGCGGCGCTACGGCTAATGCCGATCCAAGCCCGAAAACGGCGTGTCCGGGCGTGGTGGCGGGGGCAAAAGCGAAGGGAGATGGACCCACACCTAGCCTTCTATGGCGTGCCGGCATACAGGGAGGGGCGGGAGAGAGCAGGGGCTCGACCTGACGAGGGGAAGGGAGAGGCACAGCCGAGGGCGCCACCTGGGGAGCAGGAGCCAGCAGGAGGAGACGGAGACGGGAAGAGAGAGGGTAGGGGCAGGCCGCAATCTTGGGAAAGGAGACGGAGAAGGCGCGTTGACGCCAGGGGCCTGCTGCAGAGGCTGGATGAGGAGAGGGCAAGGCGGGGGGAGGAACTGCTCACGGATCCCGACCTCGAGCACCTAGGGGTGCCGGCAGACTATGTGTGGCAAATGTCAATACAGGAGTGGAACGCGCTCATGCGTGCGCTGCACGGCAACGGGCGGGGGGCGGGCCGCGGTGGAGCGCGCGGGGGGGGCAGGGGAGCGGCCAAGGCGCGGGGAGGGAGAAGCGAGCAAAAGGAGCGGAGAGCGTGCTGTCTCACGCTCAACGTGTGCGGGCTGCACCTGGAAAGGCGGGGTGAGACGATGGAGGAGATCAAGGAGCTGCGAGGGGGGACAGGGGGCGCGAGTCGGGTGAGAGATACAGGGAATGACACGACAGAGAAGCTAGAAGATGTGATAGGGATCATCAAGCAGGGGTGTGTGACCATCGCCACCCTCGCAGACACCAAACAGACGAGGCGAGAGCTGGAAGAGGCGATAGCGTTGCTGCAGACCAGAGGGTTGGACGGGTGCGGCACGCCAGGGTGGTGCGACCACATATCGGGGGAGATGCATACCGGGGTCCTGATCGTGTGGGACCCCACCCACATCCGAGTAGAGAATAGGGACACCGAAGGGAGAGCGGTGGCGACCGAAGTTGAGGAGGGGAGAATAGTGAGCGTCGAGGTAGAGGAAGTGGCCAGCTGCAGGAAGTGGACGCAGTTTGGGGTCTACATGCCGGTGAGACAGAGGACGGCGACGGTGGTGAGACCGACGTGGGAGAAGCTAACAGAGGCGCTAGATGCCACGAGGGGAGAATACATGATCGGGGGGGACTTCAACGCAGAGACGGAGGAGGCGCTGCGGGAAAGGGGCGCACAGAGGGCGACCCTGGCGGACAGGCTGTTCCAGCAGATGCTGGGGGATGGAGGCCGAGAGCTGCTGACCATGGCGGACGAAGCCACCTACCGAGCAGGGACGCAGATTGACAATTGGGTGGTCACAACTGGGCTCGCGTCATGTATGGGGCGCACGAGCACAATGCCGGGGGTGTGCGGTGACGACCACAGGGCGGTGGCGGTGGAATTCTTTGGAGGAGTGGGTGGTGTGGGAGGGCCTCGCGAGTTTCGGGAGCGGGGGGTGAGCACATTCATGGATCGGGAGGTGGAGGAGAAATTCACAAAGACGGTACAGGAGGTGTTCGATGACGAGGTGGAGGCCGATGCGGAGAAGGAGCTGAGCGCCTCAGAACGGCTCGAGAGGCTGACGAGGGTGCTCACGCGACACGCTAGGGCGGTGGTCGCGACCAGGAGGGCAAAGGGCGATGACGAAGCGGGCGGAGAGGAGCGGCCCGCGGGAGGCGGGGAGGCAAGCGAGGGGGCGGGTGGCCGAGGGCCGCCACCTAAGTCCAAGAGAGAGAGGCTGCGATGGAAAGTGGCGAAGTGGTTCAGGATACGGCACGAGGTCAAGAAATGGAGCGGCACAATGAGCGACGGATATAGGAGGGAATGGGAGGGAGAGGGCTTTTGGAGGGAGCCAAACCTGGCGCAGCTCTGGAAGGCCCTCGAGGCTCAGCCGCAGCTGGCGAATAGAGAAAGGCGCGCGAGGGCATTGGCGGTCTGTGAGCGCGAACGACGCGACGCTGAACAGGAGTTCCTCCTGTGCCCGCGGACGGGGGGGGAGAAACTCACAGAGGTGATGCAGGAGGTTGCGACAGAGAATAGCGGCAACAATGCCAGGAGAGTCTTCGAGATTCTGAACAAGGAGATGGGCAGAAGAGCGGGCGGGGGGGAGCTGGTTGCGATGTATGAGGGAGGTGAGTGGGTAACCTGCCAGACGACGGGAGAGCAGGTCTGGCAAAGACACGTGGTGCGAGGGGACGAAGTCCGCGACGCCGCGGCGAGGAGGGGGAAGGAGATCAACGCGCGGAGGGAGGCGGACATGGCGGCGGTCGAGGCGCTCCTAGCAATGACAAAACCAGCCAGGGCGGAGGCCCAGCCCCCGGGGGTGGAGGGGACAGGACGGCTCGTGGCTAACGCGTTGACGTGGTCGGCGTGCGAGGCGGCGATCAGGAAATTCAAGAAAGGAAAGGCCATAGGCAGCGACAAACTAGACGGGTACCTGATCCGACTTTCGCCGAGGGGAGTGCAGAGGGAGTACTGGAGGCTGCTGCAGGAGATTGTGCGGGAGGAGCAGTATCCCAAAGTGTGGAACGACTGGATTGCTATGATGGCAATGAAGCCGGGGGAGGATCCGAAGGAGCTCGAGAGGAGGCGGGACCTTTGGGTACAACCACAATCTATGAAGGGGCTGATGCGCATGCTACTGCCAGAATACGACAGAGCGGCAGCACACACGGTACCGGGCTCGCAGAGCGGCTTCACCAAGGGGATGAATGCACCTGCGCAGACGCTAACGGCAAGGCTGCACGCGGAGGAGTGCATGATAGAAAGGAAGATGTGTGTGAGAGGATACATAGACTTAGGCACGTACTTCATGAGCGTCGTGAATGAGGTGCAATGGAGAGTGGAGGAGTGGGCCGGTGTGCCAGCAGACGTCACGAGAGTGCTAAAGGCACTGAGGGAAGGGCTCGGCGACCTGCCAGGGCTAACAGGCCAACAGCCAGTGGGACGAACGAGGGCCGCGACGGCGGCTCAAGCGGGAGGGAGCGGAGACGGTGGGCAGAGAGCAAAGTGGGTGAGACTGATGATGCTCCTTCGACTTAGGGAGCGGTTCAGATGCTGGGCGGGCTTCAGGCTGGTGCTCACGCGAAAAGGAATCGACGCGATGTACAAAGCATACAAGAAGGGGAGAAAGAAGAGGAGAGGCGCCAGTGATGACGAAGCAGAAGCTAGTGCAGACGAGAGCAGGGCAGACCCGGGGACTGGGGAGCCGGAGCAGACGGCATCGGCCGCCGAGGGAACGTTGGGAAGAGGCACGAGGAGGGCGGCGACTTCGACCGACTATGGAGGACCCGTCGCCAGACGACGCAGGGCAGAAGACGGTGAGGCGGAGCAGACGCGCAGGGTGAGACGAGGGAGGGAGCAGGACTTTGCGGAGATCAGCAGGAGGATGTACGAAGAGATTAGGAGCAGCAGGGACCCGAGGGACCATGTGGAAGACGGCTAGTGCTAGTCCCCCATCGGGAGGACGACCCCGGCTAGTCGCCGACCACACCCACAAAGAACCCTGCACAAAGATCGCAAGGGCGGGGGCCTGTTCCTTTTTACCCATCTCACAGTAGAGAGGTGTCCGTTTTTATTTATTTATTTATCCAGTGCCTCTGTGCCGCGGAGGCGCGGGGCAGGGGACCTTTTTAAACCGCACTCTCAAACATCCGCGGCGCACCAGTCGCAGTATATGGAGCCGGACAGCACGCAGCGGAGTATCACTCGCACGGCCCGTGGCACCTCCGTGCAGCCGCGACCGCGGCGAAGCGACAGAGGAGAGACGAGAGCGGCGGCTGCAGCGTGGCACGAGGGGTACAGTGACGGGAGTCGTTCGAGCTTGCCCTTGAGGACGGAGTTGGTTTTCGCCTGCGCGGCGGGCGAGAGACGAGCTCGTGAGACGGCGGCGCGGGCCGAGCGCCGCGCTGCGGCTCGGTGGTTATGCCGCGATCGCGGGCGACACAGCGAGCGCGGAGCGTCGGGATGGAGAGGTGGGAGCGAGAGCGCGCGCGTCGGCCGTCTCGGGCCGGAGCGAGTCGTGCTGACCTCAGCGCACGCTCGCGGCGCCTCGAGGCCGCGCGGCGACGTGCAGGAGACGGCTTTTGCGGCCGCCGTCGAGGCGCTGTCGAGGCGCCGACTTTGCCGCGCCCGTACTCCACAACGGCGATTCGAATTCGGACGAACCCAGGGTGTGCGAGGGCCGCGACGCCGAGGCCGGCACGGGACGACCGAACGCGACGGCCGCCGACCAACCACGCAGCCGCAATCACAGAATCGGCTCAACACTCCCTTCGGCGCGAGTGGGCGTGTGCCGAAGGCGAAGTGGAGTCCCGCCCGCCACGCAATAAGCGCAGATGTCCTCTTCAGCCTGCCGAGAGCCTCCTGGCCCGCGCGCGCGCTCCGCCTGGCGCGCGGAGCGACTCGGTGGACGTCCGAGCCCGCCGCCCCTCGCCACTGCTCCCTGCTGGCCCATGCAGCGCGACACCGCCGGCGCTGCGCCTGCTTCCTTGCGCGCCGCTGGACGTCGGCCGAAAAGACCGCTTCCCTCTGGGGACCCGACTCCGCGAAGATCGCGCGCGCGTCGTGAATGCGGCGCGCGCGCGATCTCCGTTCCCGGGCACGCCGGTCGCAGTGGCATGGGATCCCAGGCTCAAAAGCGCTCAACAGCGAGCGAGCGCCGCCGCTGCTCCTCCTCCCGCCGCCGCTCCGCTCACCGAGACAAACTCGGTGCCGCCGTTCTCGCCGCCGCCGCCGCCGCCGCCGCCTCGCCCCTCGCCTCCGTCACCGCCGCCCTCCATCTCGCGGCGGCGTCCCTCTGATGGCGCGGGCGCCTCGCTCGCCGGCGCGCCTCGCCGCTGCCCCCCTCTCGCCGCCGCTCCGCTCGTGGCCGCCGCCTCCCCTGTCAATCCCGCCGTCCGCACCACCGCTGCCACCGCCTCGCGCCTCGCCGCCGCCGCCACCGCCCTCCCCCTCGCCGCTGAGCGGTGCTTGCGACGAGCCTCTCACACCGTCCCGGCCGCGGTGCGCACAGCCTGTGCACCCTCTCTCCTTCTCTGTACTCTGACTGCGCCGCCGGCGCCGCCACGCATGCAGTTGGGTGCTTGGGTCAGCGGCGTGAGCCGAGAGGTGGCCCACCGCTGACAGCGCTCCCGAGAGGGCGTACGCGCCCCCCGGCAGCAGCTCCCCTGCCCGCTCCCCTCTCCGCTCTCGCGCCACCCCGCGCGCGGGGGCGTGACGTCTGTAGCGAGGCGACGGTGGGACGGTGTCCGACCCGATCTGGGGTTTTCATATAATGCGGCTCTACTCGTATCGACCAGCAATAAAATACCGGGGGAGGCCTGCGCAGCCTCTAAGACCGGCTCTAACTATAAAAATCAGGGGGAACTCTGACGGAGAGGGAGGTCCCCCTGATACAGACATGGGTGCGAAACAACGACAAGACCAAGGCACGGGCAGAGGAACGAGAGAAGAATATAGAGTGGATAAAGCGCCTGTTCACGGCATGGAGGGTAAGCCACGCCGAACGCAAGGAAGCCGGGGAAGACGACCCCGAGGAGGACGAAACACCAGTGGAAATCCCGCCGTCAGCTGTCACGATATACCCGAAGGGAACCCCAGTGCCAACACCGACCGTTGAGGTACAAGTGTTCGAAACGAGAGTGGACCTGAGCAACGACATGACAGGGCGGGATATGCTCGCAGTGGGAGTCAGAAATGTGGTCCTTGCGCGAGGAATGCTCGATAAACTCGAGGGACCAAAATACACGGAGAGGAGAGCGGAGTTACGCAGGAAAGGCGAGAGAAGCAGCGAGAGCAAGAGATCGGCTGACGACAGCGGCGTCTCAGAACGAGGCCGAGGAGAGCGATGAGTCAGGGGAAGAGACAGCAGGAGAGAGAACGACGAGAGTGGGAAGAACGCGAGGTGGCATGAAGGTCGCTGCGAGAATTGGTGAGAAACTGCGGAGAGAGATAGGAAGTGGTAGACGCCCGAGGGTGGGCGACGGCTAGCACCACACTCCTCTCCTTAAAATCCCTGTGTGGTGGCGGCGTACCGTCCTCCCATCCCTCCCTTGGGTTGTCTGTTTTCTTTCTTTCTTTCTTTCTTTAGGTCCCCCTGATCGTCCTTCCAAAATCCTGCTCGTGCAGGTGTGGACCCTGTCGATGCAACGACTGCGAAATAAAAAGCTGAACTCTGACGGAAAGGTGAGAGGTGGCATGAAGGTCGCTGCGAGAATTGGTGAGAAACTGCGAAGAGAGATAGGAAGTGGTAGACGCCCGAGGGTGGGCGACGGCTAGCACCACACTCCTCTCCTTAAAATCCCTGTGTGGTGGCGGCGTGCCGTCCTCCTATCCCTCCCTTGGGAGAGAGAGAGAGATTTTTAGCAATTTGGGTTGTCTGTTTTCTTTCTTTTTCTTTCTTTTTGACGGAGAGGGAGGTTCCCCGTGTTTGTTTGATTTGCTTTTTTCTACAAAGGCCAGCGCCTCCCGATTTGTTTGTGTCTGTGTGCAAAGGGATCGGCATCTGAACCCGAAGGTCGGTGTTCAGCAAGTGGTGGTGGTGGTGAGCCGTGTGCGCGGCTCTGCGGTATTGTTGATCGCGGGTGAGGCTGCAAAGCCATCCTCGATCCGGGTGTCGTCTCAGACGACTGTAGGATTGGCATAAGGAACTCGTATCCGAGTGGTTTGGGGGAATGGTGTCCATACGACACCGGGCTGTGACTTAGCACATGAAGAGGGTTGACTGTCTCGCAGCGCGCGGCGCAACGGAGCAGTTGGAGAGCTATTACGTGCCAATGTTTGGGCGCCTATTCGGCGCCCAAGGTGCCTATTCGGCGCCCAAAGGTGCCAATATTAGGGATCTAGGTGGCAAGGCGTGCCACTGCACAGGGTGTGGGAATATAGGAATATAGGTAGACTATTCATCTCTGGTTGGGGGGGAGAGAGAGTGATAATAGGGTGGTGGAGGTGATTCTCCGGGTCAGTCTGGAGGCCATTCTCCATCCACAATCTCCTGCGACAAAGCGTTTAGCCACGCACCCACTTTTTCAGAGGCACGTGGTACCTCCAGAGGCACGTGGTATGAGAAAAAACGCAACGCGGCCAGGACGAAAGAAAAACGTGGGAAACGCCTCTATCTATCTATCTTTCTTTTGCGCCTTTTAGCTCAATGGGAGAGATTCTTCTCTCTCTTTGTTGTTTGTTGCTCTCTTAATGGGAGCAGGGGAGCAAGCAAGGGGAGAGAGGTGGTACATGTATTCTCTAGGCCCCAAAAGGCCCTAACCCCCTACGCGCGGCGCGAGAGCTCGGAAGCGAGCTTTGCACGGCGATCGAGGACAACAAAGGCGCGCTGACCGAATTTAAAGAAAAGGACGCCGCGTGTCATCGCTACAGCCTTGACTCAAGTAAGGAGCAGATTGGCCATGGCGCAGCAGTTGATCAACATCTTCCTCTGCCCGCCCGGCCTGCTCTGCCTCGACGACGGATCTATTCCCATTCTTTCTTTTGCGCCTTTTAGCTTATAATGGGAGCAAGGGGAGAGGGGTGGTGTTCTCTAGGCCCCGAAAGGCCTTAACTCCCTACGCGCGGCTTGAGAGCTCGGAAGCGAGCTTTGCAAGGCGATCGGGAGCGGTCACCGAATGTGAGTGTGAGTGAGTATTCTTGATACGAAACCACGACGACACACACCAGTCGACTCGCATCGGTTGCCTCCATTAACGGCGGAGCTATTCTCGCGCCCACACCACACCTGGCTCCAACGTGGACACGCCCATAGCTGGGGACACTACTAGGTCATGCATGGCATCAGAAGTTTTATCTCTGGGCCCCGAAACGCATCTCTAGCAGCGTCGTTACGCATGCTCCCTCCCCTCCTGGGCGCATGCGCCTGCCCTCACCTCTCGCCAGAGCATAACCCCTTGGTGTGCAGCGAGACGAAGTTCTTCGCCATCGCCGCGAGCAGCAAGCCGCCCGGGAACGGAAGACACACACTCACACACTCACGGTCACCGAATGCTTCCGCCTTGAAAAAGAAAAAGGCGCGGCGCGTGTCACTGCTTCCGCCTTGTAAGGACGAGATTGCCATGGCCCAGCAGCTGATCAACACCTTCCTCTGCCCGCCCGGCCTTCTCTGCCTCGACGACGGATCGGCGCAGCGCGAGTTCGTGTACGGCTCGGAGCGTTGGCAAATTCCCGACGAGGTCCTCGCAGAGGAGGCAGTCTACCGCCAAAGCCTTCTCGACCAGAACATCACTTGCATGGACGTCGTCAACGACACTGTGCCGTTCGGTTTGCTCGTGAATGGAACCGGCTGCCCAGCTGACAGCCCGCTGATGATGTACGCACTTTACCTCGCGATCGTTCTAATCGTACTCTCACTCGCTGCCTACGCGAGGCGCGGCACCAGCGGCGTCGCATCCCGCTCCTTGCTTCCTGCCGGCGCAGACTCGGCGAAGATGCCGACGACTGCGCGGCCGCCAGCGGGGTACCTGAAGGCGCAAAAGGCGAAGGCGGCGGCCGCCAACCTCGTCTGAGTTGTCACGGTCCCCATGCCGTCTGCAGACTTTAGTAGAGTACCAATTTCGATAACGATATACGATATACGTGTGAGTGGTGGCATGGTGAGGTGTCGGGTGGCGTCGGCGCAGTGCGCAGTCGAGTGTCTCGCCCTTCTCGTTTGTGGGATTTGTGTTTAGAGCCGTGTGGACACGCACATACAGCCCGCCCGGCCTGGCTCTCCCCACTCCCGCTCCGCAGTCCCGCATTGGCGCATTGTCCGTGATATTCCGAGAGACGGCGCGGAGTACTGTGTCTACTGAGTATGTACGTCAAAATCGAATGTCTGATGATTCGATGGCCGAGCGCGGTCGCTCGCTGGGCGGGCCATCGCTGCGCGGTCAATCCACATGCGCGCGCCGCGCCGCGTTGAGCTCGTGGCGGCGCTCCTCTGCCGCCGCAAACAAGGCCAGCGAGGCGGCGGGGCTGATGAGCGGCGAGAGCGCTAGCAGCGCCGCGCCAAAGCGAGGGCGACGAGCGATCGTGTAGGTGGCGCCGGCGGCGGTGGAGAGCACCGCGTCGATGGAGATGGAGGCCTGGCAGTCGTTTCGCCACGTCGCAGCCAATAGTGCCCACGCCAACGAGGGCACCGAGGCGCCCGGCTGGCGCAGCAGCAGCTGGCGCAGCGCAGCCGCCGAGGAGAGGGCGTGGGCGCCCAGGCAAAAGGCCGCGAGCGACAGGAACGCGGCGCGCGCTCGCCGCGGCTCGAGCGCGCGCTCGTCCGACTGCTTGAGGCTGCAGGCGAGCCCGAAGGGAAGCGCAAGCACGACGTGCAGCAGCAGCAGCGCCGTGATGTACGCCCAGCGGGGCCCGTCGACCGTCGCGGGCAGCGCCACGATGGACAGGGCGGCAGAGGCGAGGCACACCGCCCACGTGACCTCCACCGCGGCGTCTCTGCGGGCGTTTGTTCCGCCTTTGACGCCCTGTGGCTCAAGCAGCAGCAGGTGCGCCAGCAGCGGTGGCAGCGCGAGGCTCACCGCGCCAAGGAAGGCCGTCGTCACATATGCAAGTGCGAGCCGCGGCGGCAGACGCCGCCGCTGCGCTTCAAGGTACGCCATCGGGCACGCGACCGTCACCCACGTCAGCAGCTGGCTCGACCACCACCAGCCCGGCGCCTCGTCGCTCACTCGCACGTACGCCTCGACGAAGAGGTTCGGCGGGTCTGGGTGGGTGGCATACGCAGCCTGGTGCCGCGCGAAGAAGAGGAGGATGAGGCGCCACGTCGAGACGAGCGCCGCGAGTGAGTATGGTGCGGCCAGCAGCAGCGCTGGCTTCCGCCGCCACGCCTCTCGCCATGGCCACTGCCAACTGACGCAGCCGAGCGAGCCCAGGAAGGCGGAGAAGTAAGAGGCGGTGCGACAGTGGGTGGCGAGGCCTTCGCCAGAAACCAGCGCAGCGGCGATGTCGCCGAGGGCGAGTCCTGGCCTGTTCGTCATGTACCTGTAGGGTGGATATTTGCCAGACCGATTTCTTTCTTTCGTGCTCTTTCTGGCATTCACCAAACCTCCGCCAAGCTATTTCACCATTGCTGCCGGTGCCGCTCGGCCTGCCCGCCCGACAGGCTGCGCAGCGACCGGCCGAGCCGTTGCAGCCGCTCCATCTCCGCCTTGACGACCGCTCTGCCAGCAGCGGTCTCGCAATCGTCGCGCATTTCGGTGAGCTGCAGCAGCTGGTCGGTCAGCCGCACTTCCACCTACGAGCAGGCAGCGTGCGTTCGCGACGCGGCCGCGGCGCTGCGCCCCGACGGGGGGAGGGTCGGCGGCGTGCGGCGCCTTTTGCGCCTCGTGCGAGAGGTGGCGGCCGCCGGACCGCCCCGCCTCGCGCAGCAGCGCCTCTGTGGCCGCCTCCGCCTCGGCGAGGCCCCGCCGGTGCGAGGCGAGGGCGGCGACGATGGGCGCATCGGGGTCGTCGGCGGGCGCGGTTGCGCCCGCGTCGCCCTCCTTCACCTCACGCAGCGCCGCGCGCATGGCTCCCGCCTCCGCCTCCGCCGCGGCGGCCTCGCTGCCGTGGTCAGCGTAGTAACCGAGGCCGCTGGCGCCCAGCTTGAACACCATCCCGCGGCGGGCGCCGGCAAAGGCGGAGGCTCGCTCAAACTCGCTCACACCCTCATCGTCAGCAGGGTGGGGAGGGCTGCGGCTGCGACTGAAGCTGCGGCTGCCACTGCGGCTGCGGCTGCCGCTGCGGCTGCCGCTGCGGCTGCGGCTGCCGCTGCGGCTGCCACTGCGGCTGCGGCTGCGGCTGCGGCTGCGGCTGCGGCTGCGGCTGCGGCTGCGGCTGCCGCTGCCGCTGCCGCTGCCGCGTGAGTTCCGAGGGCTGTCGCGCGTGTCACATGAACGGTCGGGATTCATGCCGACTGCGGCTGGACTGCTGTCGTCGGCGTTGGGCGAGTCGTCCAGCGCAGCCTTCCAGCGTCCCACCGACGAGGGGTCGTTTGCCACCTTGCGCTTTCGCCCGGCGAACATCTGGGGCACCGCGGCAGGAAATGTGAAAACAAGAAACTCGTGAGCCCTCTCTCACATGGGTAGCATGTCTCTCTTCGTTCTCGCGCTCCTCGCTCGTAACGCGAAGGCGGGCTCCGCACCCGTCGCCGAACCAGCGGAAAGCGCACGGGAGAGAGGACTGAGCGGGGTGGGGATGAGGGGTCCTGGCCGGGGGGGCCCGGTGCGGCGAGGTCGAGTGAGAATGTACGAGTCTGGTGTCTACTAGCTCCGAGTAGAGGGGGCGCCCCGCCGCTAGGGGACCCCGAAGCGCGGACTAACCCTCGGAGATCCGTGTTTACTTTACGGCCCTTTCCCTGCGAACGCGCACCCCCCCAGGGCTAGGGCTCTCTAGCCCGTAACCCGATATCGATCATCCGGCCCGCTGGGTGCGCTTCTTAGCTCCCCGGCCCTGGATGTGAGGTTAATGACTGCACTCCAAGTGCTCCAAGTGCTCACGTGGCACTTGTGCCTCTAAGGACAGGGTGCCCCGCCACAACGACCCCTGGATTGCGACTCGCCGCTTTCCTCCAGCTGTGATTTGTGTGAGCTCTTGTCGGGCCCGGGGTTGTGCGTTTATCTTTATGTGAGCTCTGTCTGTGCCTTGCTTGATCTGCTAACAACAAACCTACATACAACCTTCATCTTGATTCTTGTAGGAGCCCTTCGTTTTTCTTTTCGTGGGGTGCAAGGAGCGTGACCGTCAGGTGGACGGACCGCTCGAGGCACGACTCATAATGAACGATGGGCCTGCTCATCCCGGAGTGGTTCGATCCCACATAAACCCGCGGACGGTGACGGGATGCTGGCTGGTGGTCTCAGGCCCAGTGAGGTAGTGCATCAGACTATCCCGGATCCTGCTGAACGAGTCGACTGAACGAGCTCCTCTTGTAGCTCGATCGGTCACACCGTCATCACCGCAGGCGCCGGCTGAGATGATGGAGGAGGGGGGACGACACTGCTTCAGCAGCGTGCACCTCGATCCTGTACCGTGTTTGTTATGACCCCCCCAAATGAACACATCAGTGAGGGAGGGCGAGACGATCGAGGGTCCCGTACCATGCGGAATCGACCCTATCCAGTGCTCAAGTGCTCAACACGGTCTCCGAGGGTTAGCCCCGCGTACCGGGTTTCCCCTTAACTGCAGGACGCCCCCTCTACTCGGAGCTAATGAACACCACACTGCACGCCCCACACCACCACCCTGCACGCACTCGCGCAGGCACTTGAGTACACCGCCTCGCGGCGGTCTCTTGGAGCACTTGGTTGGAGTGCAGTCATCAGCCTCACATCCAGGGCCGGGGAGCTGAGAAGCGCACCCAGCGTGCCGGATGATCGGGATCGGGTTGCGGGCAAGAGAGCCCTAGCCCCGGGGGTGCGCGTTCGCATGGCAAGGGCCTTAAAGTAAACACGGGTCTCCGAGGGTTAGTCCTAGGTTTCCCCTACCCCGGTTGCAGCGGAGGTCGAACTCTCTTCGTCTCTTGCCGCTCAGCAGCTCGCTGCCGACATGAACGAGACGCTCTGGGCCTACTGCCAGAGCTCGCTGCAAAATCACCTGTACGAGAACGCCATCTTCCTCGCCGAGCGCCTGTGTGCCGAGACTCCCTCCGAGGCCTCGAGGCTGCTGCTCGCCAACTGCCACTATGCTTCGGGCGCGCCTGCGCGCGCATGCGCCATCCTCGGCAACTGCTCGGCGCCGCAGAATCGCTACCTACTCGCCCTCTGCCACGTCAAGCTCGGGCGGCACTTGGAGGCGCAGCGTGCGCTACTTGGCTCCGCCTCGCCCAGCGCAGACCCAACGGGGACGGCGATTGTCCCGAACGGCGCCGCGGGTCTCTACCTGCTCGGCACCATCTGCCTCAAGGTGCAGCCGCAGCCGCCAGCGTCGCTGCCGCGCGACGATACCAACGAGCGCTCGCGTGCCGTCCTCTACTTCAAGCGTGCCCTCGAGCTCGACCCGTACCTGTGGAGCGCATACGAAGCGCTCGCAGCGCTAGGGAAGGAGTTCCCGCCGCCGCCGCTGCCGCTGCCGGCGGCGCCTCCGGGGTGGGAGCCGCCCCTCGCGATGGCGGGGTGCGGGGCGGCGGGCTCCACCCCCCTCCCCGGAGGAGGGACGACACCGGTGAGGCAGCCAGAGTGCGCAGCCATGCCGGGCCGCCTCTTCTCGCCGCCGGACGTCTTCTCGGCCCGCGCCGCACCCGACGCTTCCCCAGCCCCGCCCCTCAGCCCTTCCACCTGGCCCTCCCTCCCGGCCCTCCACGCACACACACACACGCACACACACACACACACACACACACACACACACACACACACACACACACACACACACACACACACACACACGCACGCACGCACACACACACACACGCACGCACGCACGCACGCACGCACGCACGCACCTCACTCACTCACTCATCCACACACGTCTCCCCCCTCCCCTCCTTTCCCCTCCCAGCCCCTCCTCCCCCCTCTCTCCCCCACCCTTCCCGCCTCGCCCCGCCCAGGCCCCCTCGATGGGCCCGCACCTCTCGATGGCCCCTCTCCCCCTAGATACGGAGCACACACACCCTCCACCATTACCCTCCTCCAGCCCCCTCCTCCACCAGCTCTCCGACCCGCACGACTAGCACACTCCCTCCCTCCGCGCCATGCACCGCCTGCAGCAACGCCGCCTCCTTGCACCGGCGCCCAGTGCACGGCGCGGCACTGCCCTCCCACCCCGACTCGTGCGTGCGTCCGCAGGCCCCTCCCCCTTGCGCGAGGGGAGGCCACCCCGTCTCTGCGAGCGGCGCGACGCCCGCCGTCGCCGCGCTCGCAATCTCGACGCCGCAGCTCACGACGCCTTGCTCCGCCGTCCCTCCCTGCGCCCTCTCCCTCCCCGGCGGGGGCAGTGCCGCCGGCCAGCAGCTGCCCGCTTCGTCGCTGCCGTCGCCAAACGTCTCGTCGCGCCGCCGGCCGCAGCCGCGCGCGAGCGCCGCCGACGCCGCAGCCACGCCCGCGGTGGCGACGCCGGACGACACGCCGGCCGGCCGCGCCGCCGCGTCGGGCGCACCCCCGCCGATAGGGCGGGGGAGGAGGGAGCGGCCGCCGCCGCAGAGCGCGCAGCTCTCGTCGGCGGCGCCGGTGCGGCGGTCGTCGCGACTCTCCGCGGGCAGCGCGGGCGGCGGCGCGCCGCTGTCTGCGCAAGGGCGCGAGGCGGAGTTGCCGCCGCCGCCGTCGCCCGGCCGGGGAGGGGCGGTGGGAGGAGGGGCGGGGGACGGGCGGGCTGCTGGCGTGCTCGGCGCGTGCTGCCTGGTCGGGCCGAGATTGCGCGAGATTGCGCGCGAGATCAGCGCCGAAGCCGGCCCGAGAGTAGGCGAGGCGGCGTCGGGGCCGGAGCGGGCGGTATCGCTGCTGCGCCACCTCGCGGACGCGTACCGCTCCCTCTCGCTCTTCCAGTGCCAGGAGGCGATTGATGCCTTCGAGCGGCTGCCGCAGGTGGGCCGGATGACACGTCCACGACACGCCCAGACACGCCCGCCACACGCGTCCCAACGCCGCGCCGTCTCTAGCCGAGAGCGTGCGCTTGCGCGTGGCTGTCCCGCGTGGCTTGTCATGCGCGGGGGCGGCGGCTGCCGCGGCGAGGCGGGCACGGAGCCGATGACGCGTGTGTGCCCCCGTTGCGTGCCTCAGGCGCACTTCAAGTCGGGGTGGGTACTCAGCCAGGTGGGGCGCGCGCACTACGAGATGGTCCGGTACTCGGATGCGCTGCGCGCTTTCAAGAAGGCGCACGATGTGGAGCCGCACCGGCTGGCGGGGATGGAGCTGCACTCCACCATCCTGTGGCACCTGAAGCGAGAGGTTTGCCGCTTGTATATATCTCGCCGGGGGGGGTGCTCACCCATCAACGGGCTCTGACGGAGAGCGACGGCTCAATAGGTGGACCTCTGCCACCTCGCCAAGCGCGCCGTCGAGCCGGACCGCGCCTCGAGATTACCCGAGGTTACCCGAGATTACCCAGATTACCCGAGATTAGGCGCGCCGTCGAGCTGGACCGCGCTTCGCCCTACTCGTGCTGCGTCGTCGGGAACGCCTTCTCCCTCCAAAAGGAGAGAGAGAGAGCGCGCGCGCGCGCGCGAAAGACGGAGAGAGGGAGAGCGGAAGGGAGGAGAGCGGAAGGAGCGAGCGAGGGAGAGAGAGAGAGCGGGCCCCGCGCCACGAGGAGGCGGCGCGTGGCGCTGAGGGAGTTTGGGCGTGTGCCGTGCGTCGAGTCGGCGCTTCGCTTGCGCCCGCTGCGCCGCGACGGCGCGCGACCCAGCCCCGGCCCGCCGCTGTCGCAGGAGCACGACACGGCGCTCAAGTTCTTTTGCCGCGCCATCCAGCTGGCGCCCGACTTTGCGTACGCGCACACGCTGTGCGGGCACGAGCACGCCGCCAAGGACGACTTCGACAACGCGTCCAAGGCGTACGAGACGGCGCTGCTGCACGACCCGAGGCACTACAACGCGTGGTACGGGCTGGGCAACATCTACTTTCGGCAGGAAAAGTGCGCGGGGGCGGGGGCGGGGGGGGGGCGGGGGGGGGGGGGGCACTCACGCGTGGAGAGTCAGTCAGCGTTACGCACGCCCTCGCACGGACGACGGGCCCGCACACACACTCGCGGAGCACGAGGAGGCACTGCACTCGGGGGGCGTGCGGCACTTCTCCGGGGCATGTCGCTGCAACCGTCCGCACCGACTGGGCAGGTACTCCGACGCCGAGGTGCACATGAAGCGCGCGCTGCGGATCAACTCGTGCTCCTCGCCGCTACACTGCTACCTCGGCATGGCGCTGCACAGGTCGCGGAAGAACCCTCAGGCGCTCGAGCAGCTGGGCGAGGCACGCCGCCCCTCCCCCCTCCCCCCCCACCCCCCACACCCCACACCCCCCATCCCCCACCACCACTCCTCCTCCTCCGCAAACCACCGCCCTCCGCCCCTCGAGGCCTTCTCCCTTGTGCTCCCGGCGCCTACTCCTCCTCGCCCGGCCGTCGCCGCACAGGCAATCAAGATCGACCCTCGCAACCCCCTCGCCCGCTTCGAGAAGGCGCGCCGCCCTGCCTGGGGTTGGGCCCGGAGCACCCGGCCTTAGGCCGCCGCTGCCTCGAGGGGCCGACGGCCTCCGCCCCCCCACCGCCCCCCAGGCGCAGGTGCTGCTCTCGATGGACAAGAGCGAGGCGGCGCTCGCCGAGCTGCAGCTGCTGGTCGAGGTCGCGCCAAAGGAGGGCATGGTCCACCTGACGATGGGCAAGCTGTACAAGAAGCTCGGCCGGCCGCAGGAGGCGGTGGTGCACCTCACGCGCGCGCTCGACCTCTCGCCAAAGGACTCGCAGCAGATCAAGGCCGCACTGCTCAACCTGCAGCGCGACCGCGACGACGACGAGGAGGAGGAGCTGTGAGCACCCCGCACCCGCGGCTCGCTGCGTCGCTCGCACCGTAGCTATTTTTTGTGTGCCGTGCGCGTGCATGTATGTGTGTACGTGAGAGGCCCTGGGCCCTGCAGTGGAGACGGCGCAGCTGCTGCGGACGGTGCGGGTGGTCTAACGTGCGCCGCCGCCGACCGCGCACCAGAGCGTCTCCCCAGAGATTATTTTTATACAGGTTCTACAGCTCCGCTCAGAGCTCTCTCGCGTCTCGGGGTCGGTGTGGTCGTAACATGTCGTTTACAGGGCGCAGAGACAGTCCAGGCGCGGTCAGTCCTGGAATACGGTATAAATCCGCCCCCGCGGGGCCGAGCCATACAAAGGTGTGCGTACGCACGTGGAAGCCCGAGGGCGGCTCCGAGTGGATTCAGCGGCCAGCACAACGGCGCCGGCGGCGGCTGGCTCAGCCAACGCGATCTCTTGGGATGAGCCGCAGGTCACCACCGTACTTGAGAAAGACCTCGCCAGCGGTTTGCGCGGGGTTGATGCCCACGCCATCTGCGGACGAGGGAAAAGGCGGGTGAGTATGGTGAGCGCGTGAACTTTGGAGAATGCAGCGCGGCGCCGTTGCTGATGACAGCGGAGGTGGCAGCATTCTGCTTGAACTCCTCGGCGGCGTATTTGATCAGCGCCGTGAACGGTGCGGTCTCGGGCACCTTAAAGCTGCGAAGTGGGCGGGCGCGAGCGTGAGCGCTATATGCCGGCGGGCGGGCGCGAGCGGAGCTGTGTGTCGGCGGGTGGCTGGGACGGCTCTCAGCATTGGCTCGAGCACGCTCACACTTTGAACGGCAACTTCGGGTCGCTCGTCAGCGTGATCTTGATCGTCACCTTCGCACAGTCGGCGGACATGCTGGCCGCTTCGACAACGACCCGAGAGACGTGAGCCTTTGTCAGAGAACTAGAGAAAGAGAATTCACCGCGCCGGCACTGGGCACGGGACTGGCGCGCGAAAGAGAAACACGTGGCAAAATCTGTCTCACTCACACGCGATCAGGTAGATGGAGATCCGCGGGAAAGAGTGCTCTTCTTCTGTTTTGATCAGAGACTATGCAAACTTCACGATCACGTCATGACTGGTAACGGTAAAAGAAAGAAAGAAAACACACAACGCAAGGGGGCAAGGGATACTCAGGGGCAAAAAAATCTTCCCCGGTTGAAAAATTCTTTTTACATGTACATGTACATTCTGGCTGAGGCACGTCCTGAGAGAGAGAGAGATTTTTGAACTGTGAGGGCGCTGTCAGAGAAAGAGAAACACCCCGCTACACCAAAAATCTGTCTCCTCACACGCGATCAAGAAATCACGACTCTACAGTGATTTGGGCTCGGCAGCTTGTCAGCCCTCAGCCGAAGCTGGGGCCGGTCCCGTAGCTGAGAGAGCCCGCGGCCGCGCCGTTGAGTTCGACGCGGTCGGGCGCGGGGGCCTTGCGGAGAGGCCAGCGAGATGGCGATCTTGGAGCACTTGGAGTGCGGTCATCAGCATCACATCCAGGGCCGGGGAGCTAAGTAGCGCACCCAGCGGGCCGGATGATCGGGATCGGGTTACGGGCTAGAGAGCCCTAGCCCTGGGGGGTGCGCGTTCGCAGGGAGATGCAGGGAAAGGGCCGTAAAGTAAACACGGGTCTCCGAGGGTTAGTCCGCGCTTCGGGTTTCCCCTAGCGGCGGGGCGCCCCCTTTACTCGGAGCTAGTAGACACCAGACTCGTACACACCCGTACATTCTCACTCGACCTCGCCGCACCGGGCCCCCCCGGCCAGGACCCCTCATCCCCACCCCGCTCAGTCCTCTCTCACCCGTTCGCTTTCCGCTGGTTCGGCGACGGGTGCGGAGCCCGCCTTCCCCTCTTTATGCTTCTTCGGCCGCGGCCCCACCGCCGTCTCGTCTTTTCTCTGCCTGATCCCGTTGACTCCGCCTTCGGCGATCCCGCGCCCGACAAAGGCGGCGGCATTGGGTCGTGTCGCCTCCCCTCCCCGGGGGACGGACCGGCTCTCCCTGGTCGACGAATCGCGCTCGCATCCGCGGTCTCTCTATCGTCCTCGGCTCGCCTCCCCCCTCCGCCGGCTCCGTATGGCCCCCCTCATCGTAAGTCACGTTGGTCCAGCTGCCGCCGCGACGGGTCTACCCCTGGCGGGCTCGTATGTCCCGACCCCACTCGCGATCGCTGTACTGGTTCTCAATACTCAGAAGTCTCTCTCGCGATCAGGTATCCGCGGGTGAGAGTGATCTTCTTCTGTTTTGATCAGAGACGTCTCTGCAAACCTCACGTCATCGTCATGACGGTTTATTTAAACGGCTGGTAACGGTCGCAACGTGGTTGGTCAATTGACACAGCGGCTAACTAACGGACGGTCATGACAGCTGCTGCGAACGACAGCAGCAACGACAGCAACAACGACAGCTGGCGACAGCGACGACAGCTGGCGACAGCTGGTTGGTCACTGCTGGCGGATCAGGCTAACTCATTAGAGTCTAGAAGAATAGAGTCTAGAAGAATAGAAACGGCTTAGAATCCCGCCGTTGCAACTGCCATGTCACGGCCGGTCGGCTGCAGCTCTCGCCTCGCTGGCGGCGCGGTCTGGTGCCGCGGCGCCCAGCTCTCCTGTGGGCTCGCGGCGGCTCGCCGCCGCGGTGCCGAACAATGTGATCAGTCTGGATTCGTCCCGGCGTGCCGCCGGTGCCGCTTCCTCGCCAATTTTTGGCTCGACCAGTTTGTCGACAAAACTGTGCCAGAGCCCCTGCTGCTCGACTGAGCGGCGGAGCCGGCCCGTCGCGGCCGAGAGGCGGTGCGCCGACACCGGGGCTACGGCTCGGGACCGTTTCCAGGCTCTCTCGAGCAACCTCAAATTTTGATGATTTCATGACCGCCACTTTGCTGCACACTTTGACCTCAACCTCGCGGCCCGCTGCGCGGCTCTCCGAGCGCGAGAGGTGGCGTCTGCGAGGTGGCGGCGAGCGCAGGCGGCGGCGGCGCGGCGGCGCGGCGGCGGATCGCGGCGCAGACAACGGCAGGAATCTGCGGCAGGCTGCTGCCTGCTGCTACAGCAGCTGCTGCTGCTGCTGCTGCTCCGCCGCTGCCGATTGTGGACACGATTCCCCCGATCACACCGCCCGCCCGCTCCGCCCCGCCCGCCCGCCTCTCCCCGCTTGCCCGCCCGCCCGCCCGCCCGCCCGCCCGCCCGCCCGCCCGACCACCCATTCCCATCACCATCTCACATACCTTCATATAGGCGCTCGAGACCTCCTCTCGCTGCCTACTCGCTGCCTCGAGGGAGGAGGGGAAGACGTAGGGTTGAGCTGGACTCGCCTTTCCTGAGGCCCCTCCCCGAAAGGGCAAGTATTAGCCACACGAAATCCGAGACCCCTCCCCACCACCCCAATCCCCCCACCCCCTTGCTCCCCTCCCCCCCTCGGGAGGGCCGAACTGAGGCGCCCGAGGGGACCCCGCAATTCCCTTCCCCCCTCGGAGGGCCGGACTGAGGCGTCGAGGGCCCCACTCTTTCCTTCGCATAGCGGCCACTCTTCGGATCGCTGGTCGAGCGACCCGGGGGATGCCCCGCGCGCCTGACCCAGGCGCGGAAACGAATCTGCGAGGCGTGGCCGCTCATGCGGCCCGATGGGGAGGAGGGGAAGACGTAGGGCGTGCTTGCGCGCCTTTCCGAGGCCCCTCCAACCCACCCGCGCTAGGTCTCGGGTTTGACGCATGGGGTCACTCCCGCGAAACCCGTGAACTAGCCGGGGCAGTCGGAGAAGGGGCAACTCCGTGCACTGACGGTCGGCCGTCAGAAAACACGCCTCCGTGGCTCGGGTTACACCAATCCTCGCTACCCAACGCGGCCAAAGGATATCCACCTCGAGAACCTGAGAAGAAATAGAAAGAAGGCCGCACATGGCTCATCTGGATCTGTGGCATTGGCATTCGGGCAGCGATGCATCGCGTCGCCCGCGTTTGGTCGCAGTCGCAGGCCTCATGGGCGCGGCCGGCCCGTATTCGTATTTTTCTGCGCCAGCCCGCGACCGCCACGGCCACACAAAGGGTGCCCCGCGAGTTCGCAGTGCCGGAGGTCGACGCCTTTGCGAAGGATGCGTTATTCGGCGAGTCACAGATAATTTCAACCAAGTTCTTGGGTCAAAGCGTGCTCGCGTCGCCACTGCACCCGACGTTTGGCGTGCGTATCGACGGCTGCCGCCTCGCAGAACTGATGCACGACCCGCCGGCCCTCGCCACAACTCTGCGCCAGCTGCTGCAGTCGCAAAAGATGGTCGTCTTCAGCGGCCAGTCTGAGCTCGAGCCGGAGGCGCACGTCGCCCTGTGCAAGCTCCTCGGCGGCAGCGCCGGTCTCGACGACACCTTCAGCAGCAACCACGCCGCCGGCCTCTCCGAGGAGGAGGGAGGCCACTGGCCTGGCGACGGCGGCGGCGGCGGCCTGGCGCTGCGGCCGACGGCAAACGCGTACGAAGCCCTGCCGCCCGCCGTCTGGCCGATCTCGAACCAGCCCGATCGGGGCACCGTCAACGCCGGCGACGGCGGCTTCCACTGCGACGGCGCCTGGTTCGGCGACCACTTTCGGTACATGTCGTTTTTGTGCCGCAGCCAGCTTTCTCACGGAGGAGGGCACACCTTCTTCGCCTCGAGCGAGGCGCTGCTGCGGGCGCTGGGGCCGGAGGAGCGGCACTTCCTCGCGGGGGTGCTCGTCGAGTACACGGACCGGATGGTCTACCCCGGCGGCAACTCCATCAACCCGTCGGGCGGCAGACCGACCGTGATTCCTCTCGTCAGCGAGTCCGGGACTGGCGCCGACCGCCAGCTCGCAATCTCCGCCTTCCTCGACCCAAAGTACTGGCGGCGGGTCTACCTCTGCGACGCGGCGCGCGAGTCGAGCCCCGAGGCGCGGCGGCGCCTCTTCGCGCAGCCCTTCTGGCGCCAAATCGTCGGTGATGACTCGGCTGGCCGGCGGGGGGGCGAGAGTGCAGAGGCCATGTCGGCCGGGGCGGTGCAGGAGCTGGCGTGGGCGGAGGGGGCGGACATCCTCGAGGGCATCAACGTGCGGCTCGGGCCGGAGGCGCGGACGCATCTCGGCTGTGCCTCGGCTGTCCCTCGGCTGTATCTCACCCCCGAGCGGTGCCACCACAGGGCGTCGGTCGGCCCGACTCTGCACACAAGTCGCTCACGCTGAGCATGCAGTGGCGGGAGGGCGACCTCGGCTTCTACTGCAACCGCACGCTCCTGCACCGCGCCTCGGCGGGCGCACGCAGCGGCGCGGGAGCCGTTCCCTCTTCTGTGTGATCCGCCTCCCCTCTCGACACCAGGCGAGCACGCAGCGGCGAGAGAGCCACGGCGAGCCGGAGCTGCGCCTCATGCACCGCATCTCCATCAAGGGGGGAGGCACGCCGCCCTTCTACATGGCGCAACGTCGCGGAACAAGTCGCCTTGGCGCCGGTGCACCGCTCACCGCGTGTTGCGGCGTGACTTGTAGGCGCCGCCGCCGCGCCACGGACACGTCCACGCGGAGTGACGTTTCTTCTCTCTCCTCCATCCATCCGCGCCTACTCCTCTCCCTCCCACGCTGTCGCGGCCGCCGCGCGCGGGGGAGGGGCTGGCCGAGGGGCGGGCCGGGAGAGCAGTCTCGGCCAGTCTCGGCTCCTGCGGCGCAAGCGCCGGAGGCATGTCTTGAGAGTGATCGAGCTGGGGCGGGGCCGCCCGTCGAGGCAGGGGAGGGGTCTATTTAGGTCGAGGAAAAGGGACGTTGTTGCTAGTACCGTAGTGGCGCGGTTCGCATGCTCACGTGTCGGAGACTCATTATTTGCCCAGGCGTAGTACAGTGTCGTCTCTTGGCAGCGCGGTATTGGTGTAGTGACTTGTGAGTTATGTGTGTGTGTGTGTGTCGCCCAGTCGCCAGTGGGCCCGTCGTCGCGGTGCTTGTCTCATGTCTGGGAAATGCATGCGCACATGAGAGTAGAGATACATATTGTGATACACGACAACAATTCATATTCGATCGCGGGACCGCGCGGCCACGGGGACGAGTCATGAGAGATCTCAACCGCTGTGCGACTTTCCCAGCAGGCTACTCGCCGCCGCCACCGTCGCAGCTCCTCCCCCACCCGGGTGCACGCCCGCCGGCGCCATGCGGACGGCCTCCGCATGCGGCGAAGGCTGCGCCGACGGCAGCGAGCAGCTCGAGGTGTCCAAAGGGACGCGCGCCCTCAGCTGCGAGACGACGGCCCACTCGACGCGGAAAGCGCACCACTGCGCGCGCCGCAGCAGCTCGACGCAGCCGAGGAGGAGCACGACGTGCTGCTGCAGGATGCGCTGGTCGGGCGAGATGTAGACCGCCCAGCCCGCGCGTGCCACCGTGTTTGCGAGCGCGCCGACCTGGAACGAGCGGCGCGGGAAGAGGCGGCCATCGAGCGGGTCGGCCACTGCCGTCTCGCCCAAATATTGCGAGACTCCGAGGGCACGCGCGCCGACGGGGAAGCCCCAGTCCATGTAGAGGTCCCACCACGAGCAGTAGAGCGTCGAGATGACGGACATGGCGAGCCTAACGTCGTGGCCGGTATGACTGGGGCCGGGAGCACGGCATCGTGCAGTGTATCGAAGCAGCGCATCAACATCGAGTGAACATGCCGCCGAATGCGGCCGAGCACAGCGGAGTGCGTGCCGGCTCGAGTGCCAGTTCGAGTACACGGGGGTGTCTTGCGCATTCTAGCACGGCGAGCCAAGCGACGAAGACGCCGTCGCACTTGAAGAGGTCGGAGTCGGAGAGCAAGGAGAGCGCGACGACAGAGATGGCGCACCCGTACTTGAGCGAGTTGAAGACGTGCCTCACCTCGCCTACTCTCGGGCCGTCTCTCGGCTCGCACCCGCACCCGCAGCGGAGAGGCCGACGTGCTCCCGAGCGGCTCGCCTCCCAGGGCGAGCTGGCGCTGGCACTGCGCGAGTCGGAAGGCGAAGGGGCCGAGCGAGAGGAGCACCTGCGGGGAAGGCAGGCACACTCCTCCACACACGTCCAAGACAGGAGCCGCGCGGCACCGAAAGCGCAAGGCCCGGCGCGCGTGGGTGAGGTGTGTGCGTGTGCGCGTGCGTGTGTGTGTGTGTGCGTGTGCAAGTAAGCGCCACCTTGCACGCAAAGTAGAGCCTCGACCCCTCGTTTGTGCACGTGTCTGACATGCCGACGGCGCGCGCTCTCTCTTCGTCGTACTCTATCTCGTACGCCTCGCCGGTGGCATAGAGGCAGCCTATGGCACGCATCGTGGACGTGTCGCGGACACACGCTGGGTCGCGAACGCCGGTGGCGCGGGGCGGCCGGTGCGCAGCAGGTCGAGGAAGAGCTTCGGCATGGAGCAGAGGACCTGATCACGGCTCGGAGCCGTGTGAGCGGGCGCAGCTCACAGGTCGAGGCCGAGCCGTGGCGTCGAGCGGAGCGCACGTCGGTGAGGATGGTGTCGGACAGCTCCGGCACGAGGAAGGGAGAGAGGAAGGTGCCTCGCGCCAACGAGCGGCAGAGCGCCGCGCGCTGCCTCGCGTCCCTCCACTCGGGCATCCAGTCAAACGGGAAGATCAGGAAGAGGAGCGAGGTGCCGGCGGCTATTGCGGGCCACGCGTGCTTGTATGGCGTGAGGTGGTCTGTGAGCGAGAGCACGTACAGCGCGAAGCAGCCAAAGACAAAGGACATGGCGAGGAATGAGAGGGTGACGATGGAGTGGTAGTTGTGCTGCTGTGGTACGCCCAGCACCGAGCGGTAGTCGACGTCGTGCCGCTTCCAGAGGAAGAGCACGATACCGTAGCACGAGCAGAAGAAGCAGATCAGGAACAGGCCGCGAAAGAGCGGGTAGTATCCGAGCGCAAACTCGTACATCGGACCGCCCTGCCGCTGCGCCGCCGCCATCAGCACGGCCGACATTAAGAACATCTGGAGCCCAAAGCCCGTCTGGAGGCCGAGCGAGAAGAAGCGCACCTTGATCTCATCGACAGACACGAGCCGCGGCCGCTCGTGTCCCACAGTGTCGAGAATCTTGCGCGGCACAACGTGCAAGTCGACGCTGCTTGCGCTCGGCTCCACACCGACAAGGCCACGCAGCGACGGGCTCGGCTGGTCAGGGAGGTCCGGTGTCGAGAAGAGCAGCGGCCGACGGTCTGCTGGCCCCAGCATCCGGCTAAATCACAAAATGCGCGGCTCGACCAAAAAGAAATTTACCACGTTAAGCAAAAAAAGAACTCAAGTTGCGAGAAGCGGCGAGAGACTGCGAAAAGAGATACAAAGAGGCAGACTCCCCAGGGTGGCGACGGCTAGCGCACCACACTCCTCTCCTTAAAATCCCTGTGTGGTGGCGGCGTGCCGTTCTCCCATCCCTCCCTTGGGTTGTGTGTTTTCTTTCTTTCTTTCTACTCAAGTTGCATGGCATGACGCTGGGCAGGAAGGCTCCCCACTCCCGTTCCCCTGTGTCCCTGATCGTCCTTCCAAGATCCTGCTCGTGCAGGTGGGGACCCTGTCCTTCTCCCATCCCTCGTTTGATTTGTCTGTTTTCTTTCTTTTTTACTGCTAAGATTTGGGCGAGGGATAGGGGAGGAGGACAGGGTCCCCACCTGCACGAGCAGGATTTTGGAAGGACGATCAGGGGCAACAGGTGGGGCTCTCCTGCTCCTGACAAGGATGACACGACAGGCCCGCAGCGCGGTCGGCACGGTCTGAGGGAGGGTGTAGAGGATGTAGAGTGTAGGAGCGCTGTAGAGCTGTAGAGATGTAGAGCGCTCTGGAGCGCTGTAGAGCTGTAGAGCTCTACATCCGCCGCGTGACGATGCGCCTGCGTTGTAGAGCGATGTAGAGCGCGATTTTGCTGTAGAGTTTGTTGTAGAGGCTCTACAGCCAAACCGCCGGGAAGGCAGTGACTCAAAGAGGTCGAGTCGCACTACCGTAAGGTACCGAACTTAAGGTAAGGTAGCTTGAGTTAGGGAGCCCTTTTCCTTTTACGGAACTCCTGTTTTAAGGTACCTAACTCCTGCTACCCCCCTTTGGGTCCCGCGGGACCGGCACAGGGGCCACGGGGCCCGCACACCATTTGGAGGAATGGCTCCCTCTTAGGTTAGGACCTAGGAGCCCCTAGGAGCTGGAGTAGGAGTGCCTACGTTACTAGATGCCTTATTCTTCTTCTTCTTCCCCCCCCCCCCCCCCCCCTCCTCCTCCTCCTCACTCGCCACACCCTCGTCGTACCAGCGAGGGCCGAGGGGGCCCGTCGCCGGTACCAAAAAAGAAATCCCCGGTACCTAACTGCTGCTACCCCGTACCTTAAGTTCGGTACCTTGCGGTAATGGGGTGTCTCCGAGCTTACTGGAGCTCTGATTGACGGCCCTGACTATCCCTGACACACAGAGCGTCACTCTGACGGCACACAACACCCTATAACTGCGTCATGACCAGCCTGCCATGCGTCGCCGGTGCCGCATTCGTCGCAGTGCTTCTGGGAGATTTTTAGCAATACCAAACAACTCTAACACTCACACGTAATTTGGGGCCTGGAGCCCTGTTCACGCGCGCGCGAGACGTGCAGACAGGGTTGCCAGGTGAGCTTCTGTAGCAGGCGGTGGACTGTCGGCTGCGAGGACGGTCGCATTTGCGCGAGGCGAGGCGAGCATTGCTGCGCGTTGCATGCGCCATGACTCGCGCCAGCGCGTGCGGGAGCTCCTGGCTGAGCGTTGAGTCCAGGCGAGTTGCGCTGGCCACTATCGCTACGCCGAGCCGAGCTGACGCGCCGAGGCGCCGGCCAGTCGCAGCCGTGAGGCATGCCACAGCAGCAGAGGCACCTGCCACCCATTGGGCGGGCAGACAGAAGGCCAGGGCAGCACTGGCAAGTGCAACGCGCCTCATGTCGGAGAGCGACCGTGCCTCGTTCGCCGCTTATGATGTACTCGTTTAGTGTGGGTAAACGAAAAGTAGCGTATACGCTACTATGAATGAAGAAGCCGAAAAAAGGCGGCGGATTCAGTCCGCCCGAGCCAGCCAGCTGCCGGCTCGCACGGCAGCCTCTTCCTCTCGACCAGCCTCAACTTCCGTACAGTCAACATTTTGTCGCTGCGTGCTCGTGGTGAGCTGTGGCGGCGGTCGAAGTTCGCCCAGATTCGGTGACGAGCGCCAGACGATAGTAGTGTCTCTGTTCGCCCTGTGCATGTCAGGCCAGGCTGCAGCAGGGCACTACCATCGTGCTGCCCTGTTGCAGCCTGACTTTGCCCACTGTGCACAGTCGCCAGAGCACCACCACCGCCCGGCATCGTGTCACGGCGAGCTCCTTCTGCGCCCGCTCGCGAGGCTCTCGCGCTGGCACACTTTGGCCATCTGCCTGGGGTGTCGACGGGCCCCCGGGGGCGACGGGGGTGCTCTCCGGCCGCGGCGGCCGAAAACGGGGGTCTCCAATAAGGTCCAATAATGAAGTGATCCACTTGATCCAAGGGTGCCATTGTGCTCTACTACAAAAGTTGTGTAAGATGCCCAAGTCTCAGACGCTGGATCCTTAGCGGAGCTGAGTTCTGACGGTGTGAACACGAGCAACCGGAGTGACGACCGGGACCGGGCCGCACGCCGGGAGTGCCCCGACTAGCAGTGGCGGGCGCGGACGAGCGAATGAGAGGTCGCTATCTGTGGGAGATGTGTTATTAGAGACTAGGGCTGCCTATCTCTCACTGAAAGGGACCTCTCATTCGCTCGTCCGCACCCGTCACAGCTCACGGAGTGCTCCGCGTGCCGCACCGGCCGCCGCCGGCCGCCGGCCGCTCACGGTAACGGAACAGTCTTACTACTCCGCAACGTTGAGCTGGATCAAACTGAATAGTGCTCCTGAAAGCCCTCTCTATGGGCTCTGCCACACAGTAGCAGCGCACGACTAGCCGCTGTTGTGGCTGTATTTGTAGCCATTTTTAGGCTTCAACTGGTCCCAAAATAGTAGCAACACCTCATGAAAATCAGTCAAAAAAGCCCGAAAAAATCGGCGCCTGCGGCGGGCTTCCTGGGGCTGCGCCCCAGACCCCCTTGACTGGGGGGACCCCCCGCGAGAGCACCCCCGTCGCCCCCGGGGGCCCGTCGACTCCCCAGGGCCATCTGCTGCTCGCGTTCGGCGAGCTCTTCTCCGCACTCCTGCCACGGTGCCGTCACCACACACCTTCTGGCCGGCCTGAGCCGCGCGGGGTCGCCGGCGGGGGCAACGCGTCGACCTCTCTCTCTGGTGCACCACGGGCCGCAACGGCCTGCGAGCAGCGTGCGCGACAGCGCGAGGAGGCAGTGTGCCGGCACAGTCGAGCCGGAGCATCGGGTTCTTGATGCTTGTGGGGTCAAGTCTGACCTTATGCGGCCTAATATACAACAATAATGCTATGCTCTCACCCAGCCTTTTGAGATATGGTCCCTCAAAGTCGAGTTTTCGTTTACTGGTGACCATAGTAGCGTCTGTCTTGTTTGCGTTTCTTCCAACGAAACACTTTAAAGTCTCGACAATCACTAAGCTGCTTATGTGGCACCGCAGAGGCTCCCTTGGGGATGCCTGAGGCCACCCCAACCACTCACGAAGCCGTACGTGGACGAATTCAAATCTACTTTTTTCGTTTACCTACACTAAGCGAGTAGAGTTTGTTGTAGAGATTTCACGTTGTAGAGAGCGCCGGGAGGGGGAAGCGCTGCGGGCTAGTGTGAGCGCTGGCCGATTTCAGGCCGATCGTGCAGGCGGATCGATGTTCGCTGCCGCTGTGAGGCGCCGGCGCGCTTTGACGCTGTGAGGCACCGGCGCGCTTTGAGGACTTTTCCCTTTTTTGTCTCTTCCGGTTCAGACGCCGTCTGGGGCAGTCTGTCGCCCTGTCGCTCCGGTTATGGAACACGAGTCGCTCCGATTGCGCGCTGCTGTGGTGTATGCTCTAACTCTCGCAGCTCAGCCTGCCTGTGGGCAGCAGTTGGGTTCCACGTTCCAGCGCCGATTCATCCTCGGCCGCGGCGCCTGCGCCACGCCAGGCGGCGGCCAGGGCTCCTACTCGGAAGTTTGGGAGCTGTCGCACGAGCGGTGTGCAGAGGCGTGCTTGAACGACCGCGAGTGCGTCGCGTACGAGTACTCGACGACGAAACGGTACAAACTGTGCGAGAAGCACAAAGAGGTCCCTTCGCACTCAGTGCCAGTCGACAACAGCGCGTGCTTTGTCCTCGAGAGCGCGCTCAGCCTAAGAACCTTCAAACCCTTTCGGGGCGGGGACGCGAGGTATCGTGGAGCAGTCTCAGCGGCCGGCCCGCTAGGATGGCCTCCTCCCCCGCCGGCGATCGTCGTCCCTCCGCGGGCGTGCGGCTCGCCGTCGTCGATGCCGTCGTCGATGCCATCGTCGAGCAGCGGCGGCGATGGGTTTGCCGGGTGCGACTTGCGGCTCGTTCAGTGGGACGGCCTCAGCGTAGAGTCAGTCAACCTGGACGGCGCGGACCTCTCGGGCGGCAGCTTCACCCGCGCGCAGTTCTTCCGCTCCACGCTCCGTCAGGCGGGGACCACCCGAGACCACCCACGAGACCACACGATATCACACGAGATCACACGAGACCACACACGAGACCACACGATATCACTCGAGACCACACGATATCACTCGAGATCACACGAGACCCCACCTGAGACCCAGCCGAGATCCCACCCGAGGTCACCCGAGAGATACGCCGAGATCACGCGTCCGTCCCTGACTTCGATCTCTCCCAGGCGGTGGCCGTGTCGGCCACCTTCGAGCGTGCCGGCCTCGAGTTTACCGACTGGAGACAGGGGCTCCTCATGGACAGCAGCCTGCGCGCGGCCGAGATGTCCGCCGCAAGCCTCGACGGCGCCACAGCCTCTTGTTCTGTGCCTGAGCAGAGGAGGGGGAGTAGTATTAATTAATCATCGATCGTCACTAGGCGCCAGCCTCTTGTTCTGTGACCTGAAGGACATACAGGCTCGCAACACTCGCCATAGCGCTCGCCATAGCGAAACTCCTCTCGCACCCGGGGCTCCTTTTCAGCTGTGACGGTGTCCGCTCAGTGCGTGCGCCTCACCCCCTTTCTTCACATCAGGCGGACGAGGCATCGCTCAACGGCGCCCCCCCCACCCCCCTTTTGTGTGGCGCTGCACGAGACGGGCCGGCACTGCTCATCGCTGTGGCTGTGTGAAGTACAGGCGCGATCCTCCGCGACAGCGTTTTCGATGGCGCAGGTGTAGTACGGTAGTAGTAGCAGCAGTACGGTAGTAGCAGCAGCAGAGCTAGTGAGCAGCAGTACGGTGCACGTGACGTCTGATGGTCGTCTCTTCTCCAACGGCGCAGACCTGCGCTCGGCACAGCTGCGCTCGGCGACTTTCCGGCGCGGCTCCGCCGTCGGCGCCAGCTTCCGCTACTCCGACCTCCGAGGCGTGCAGCCTAGCGCCTCTCTCGCGGGAAGTCTCGCGGGCTGCTCAAATCCCCTCCCGGCACGCCCGCCCCGACCCTTCTCCACAAGCCCCTCTCCCGCAGGCGCGACTTTCGTCCGCACGAACCTCTCGCGCGCGACTTTCCGAGGAGCGAATTTGGTGCGTCGGCCACGTGCGCGCAGACGCGTTCTAGTGTGCGCGCCTCTCGCGTGCGCGGAAGCGCGAGGGGACGACACACGCCACATTGAGTTGACAGGCTTGACTCTCCCCCGGCTTGACTCTCGCCCCCCAACCGCCCGCCACCCACCGCAGGAGGGGGCCGACTTCACTCTGGCCAGAGGAACGACGCCCTCGACCTTCGACATGGCGCGAGGGCACTTCAAGGTGCGGGGAGTACGGACCATCGTATTCCGACGAGCACTCGAGAGGGGCCACAGACTCAGCTGTCTCTGCCTGTATCCGTAAGAGCCCTCGTGTTCACGCGGTGCTCCGAGTCCACTGCACGCCACGCGGGACCGTGTTGGTGTTCCCGCCCCTAGTTCCCGCCCCTATAGTCCCGCTCAGCCGTCAGCCCTCGGTGTGACCCCGGGGGTTCATGGCGTAGGCGCCCGACCCCGCCGCGAGCCAAGTCAAGGCGGGTTGTGCGGCGCTGCCGGCCTTCGGCGCCTCGTACCCCGGCTGTGACCTGCGGGCGAGAAGCTGGGACGGCGTCAACCTCGAGCAGGCGCGAGATCGCCCCGAGAGGCCACCCGGGGTCACGGCCGCCACCCTCTCGAGCGCAGGCGAGAGCCTCGATGGGGGCGGAGATGCCTCTATATCTCGGCTCTGTCTCGGCGACATCTCGGCGACATCTCGGCTGCACCTCGTCGATGGCTTCGTCTCGTCGTCAGGCGAGCCTCGACGGTGCCGACGCCTCTCGCGCGAGCCTGGTGCTCGCCAAGCTGTCGCACGCCTCCCTGCTCCGAGCCTCTCTCGCCGAGGCGAAACCTGCAAACCGCACACACGCACGCACGCACACACGCACGCACGCACGGCACGCACGCACGGCACGGCACGCACGGCACGCACGGCACGCACGGCACGCACGGCACGCACGGCACGCACACTGGGTCTTGCACTCTGAATGCCGCTGGGCTCCTGTCTTTGTAGACGTAGACGTAGACGTGGAGTCGCGAGGGTTGCCCTTACCTTGCCCACCACCATGTGTGTGTGCGCCGAGAAGCGTGTGCCTGACCTGACCTGACCTGACCTGACCTGACCTGACCTTAGGCGGACCTCCGCGGCGCGAGCCTCAACTCCGCGCGCCTCGACGACGCGGACCTGACCAAGGCGGACCTGGTCGGCGCAGAGCTCACCGAGGCCTCCCTCCGCCGCGCAGACTTCCGCATGTCGCAGCTCGGCGCCGCAAAGGTGGGCTTCGTGCAGGCGGGAGGGGCCGGGACGGCGGCGGGGCGCTGTGGGGGCGGAGGGGCGGGGGGACGCCGTGCGCTGCTGAACAGGCGGAGGAGGCGGACTTTTCCGACGCGGTCGCGGAGAAGGCGCTCTTCGAGGGGGCGGCCGCGCCGCGCGCCCAGTTCGCTCGCGCGCGGCTGGCCGAGTCCCAGTTCAACGGGGCGAGGCTGGTCGGGGCGAGCTTCGCTAAGGCGGACCTGGTGGGCGCCCGAGCCATCGTCGCCTAGACTGCCCCTGCCGCTCGACAACCTCGCGACACCCTTCGAGACACACCGCCACTCGACAACACCTGTAGGCTGATAACCACGCGTGTCCGCGTCACTCACGGGAAGAGATCGACCCCTCGGGTCAGGTGGGCGCCTCGTTCAAGGACGCGGCCGTCGAAGGGGTCGACTTCACGGGCGCGCTCATGGATGTGGCCACCGACTTCACCGGCGCAATTGGAGTCGACAAAGTCGCCGCGTGGCCGGCCGGGTACAGCCCCCCGCTTGGGTAGCCCCAGCTAGGGATAGCCTGGGGCGAGGGCGCCACACGCTGCCGCACACGGCGCCTGGCGCGGGGACCCGCGCTGCGACGTCTCAGGTGGTCAGGACACACCCCTAGCATAATCACATCAACACTATAGCACATCACGGGTGCGAACTCTTCTCAGGAACTCTTATGACTTATCGGTCCAAAACATGATTTCGTATGCGCCCCCCTGGAGAGTGTGGGCGAGAGGTGTGCGCGTGTTCTTCTGGTTAGTCATATGGCCTTGATTCTACTCACGAGTTTCACACACGCACAATAAAGGCCACAACACCGAAGTTTCCGATTCAAAATCACCGCCTTGAAGACCGCCCGGCCTTGCCGCTCCTTCCCTTTGAGCCTCCGGCTCCGCCGCCGCTCTTTCCCTCCTGTCGTGCGCCAGCCGCAGCGGCCCCCCTTGAGCTCGACCCCTTCGACCGGCTCGTGGGCGGCCCCTCCTTGCGCATTTTCAAGGTCGCGGCCGGCCCCTTCTTGCGCGGCGGCGGCGCAACCTCCTCCTCGCTCTCCTCCTCGCTCTCCTCCTCGGCGCTACCGTCGCTCGCCTGGGACGCCAAGCGCGCGGAGAAGAAGTCGTCGCCGCCCTCCTCGCCCTCCTCTCCACTCTCCTCCTCGCCCTCCTCGCTCTCCTCCTCCTCCTCGCCCTCCTCCTCGCCCTCCTCCTCCTCCTCGCCCTCCTCCTCCTCCCCGCCCTCCGGCGCGCCCGCCTCTGGCAGCTCGGAAAGCATCTCGCCCACGTCCGCCTCCTCCTCGTCGTCGCCCGCGCCGCGCAGCCGCAGCGCGCGCACCTCCGCCGCCGTGCCAGCCTCGCTCGACAGGAGGCAGGCGGTCAGCCGCTGCTTGAGGTACACGCTGGCCACCGGGCCTGCGCCAGGAGGTCGCACCGAGGTCAGGGCGGGAGGACGGTCTCGTGCCGTGTGTCCGGAGCACCGCGTGAGGAAAGGGAGACGGGTCCAGCTAACCGCAGCCGAGAGCTGAATGCGTGCCCTCTCGAGTGCTACTCGGAATACGCGGGTCCGTGTCCCGGCATCTAGGAAGCGAGGCCAGTGCGCCGCTCGGCCGACCAGCGCCCGCCTGCCACAGGCGAGGGAGGTGAGCGATGGAGGGGAGGGGAGGCCACGGCGAGGTGACAAGGCGAGGTGACAAGGCGACGGTAAGGTCGAGGCGAGGCGGGAGGAGTTGGAGGGAGGCGGAGCGGCGGCCATCTCACCGCCGTAGCCCCAGTTGTACAGGCGCATCTTGCGGTCGAGTCCGGCGCACGCGAGCAGTGGCAGGGTCGGGTGGAGAGCGATCTCGCGGATCGAGCCCGCGTTTGCGCGGTACCTGCGTCAGGCGGGGTCCGCCCCAGGGCGAGGGCTAGGGTTAGCGGTGCTTGCGTTGCGGGGCCGTCCGCAGGAGGCGGTGGGGAGGCGAGGAGGAGGCGGTGGGGAGGCGAGGAGGAGCGCAGAGGAGGCGAGGGAGGGGAGGGGGTAGGAGTCGCCTCTCCACCGGCTTGAGGCTCATCCGAGCGTCGAGCCGCGCCAGGTGGCCGCTGACGCTGCCGGCGAAGACGTGGCGTCCGTCCGCAGAGACGGCGACGGCGGAGATGGCCTCCTCGCCCAAGGGTGCGACCACGCGCGCCACCGGCTTGCGCTGCGCCGACGTGTCGTACAGCCGCACCTCACCGCGCAGTCTACGGGAAGGTTCCTAGAAGGGTGAGGCTCCTGGAAGGGTCCTGAACGGTGCTAGAGGGTCCTCGTGTCGTACAGACGGGCCGTGACACCGCCTTGAGGTGGAGAGAGAGGAAGTCGTGCGGAGTGGTGTGGTGCTCTGGAGAAGTGTGACGGAGATGTGGTGTGGTGGGAGGGAGAATGGTGTGATGTGTGTAGACTGGTGGGGGAGGGGCTTGGTCGAACCGGCTCGCCACGAAGCCGTGGCCCGTCGCGAGGAGCCTCCCGCCCTCAGCAACCTTGAGGTCGGTGAGCCAGATGGGGACCGCGAGGTCGAGCTCGTCGTTGGGCAGATTCCGCGCGCGCCACACCGCCTTGCCCGCCTCGAGCGACCACACCGACGGGTCGGCGCCCTTCCCTCCGACAGCGACGCCCTCGCCGCCCGCAGCAGAACGGCACACCGCCGCCGCCTTTCCCGTCTCGATCGTGGCGAGCGGCTCGCCCTGCGGGCCGTGAGCCGCGCTGCCGTCGGGCCACACCCACACCCGCACGCGACCAGTCCGCTCGCCGGCGACGACGCGCGGAGCGGCTTCGCCGTGGGCAAAGAGCCCGGCGATGCCGTTGGGCCCGCCGCCGTGCGGCGCGACTCCCTTTCCGATCTCTTCGCCGGCTGCGAAGTCGACAGATGGAGGCGAGGCGTCCTCGCTCTCCTCGGCGATCGCCACCGTCGACGCAGACCGCCGCCAGAACCGCACCGTGCCGTCCTCGAGGCCGACACCCACATGCGTCTCCTCGGCGCCCGGGCCCCAGCAGGCGCGCGAGACGCCGCGTCCGCACGCCTGCTGGCCCCACCGACGGACGACGGACGACTCCGGCGCGAGTGATACCTCCTTGAGAAGCCCGGTGTCGTCCGCAGTCAGCGCGGTCAGCGGCATCGTGCCCAGCGAAACGAGAAATTTTTCTGTCCCTGCGCTTGGGTGACTTTTGCAATCCCTGGCGGCGTGCCGTCCTCCCATCCCTCCCTTGGGGTGTCTGTGTTCTTTCTTTCTTCTTTGGCTGACTGTTGACAGCAGGCCCAACGGGACAGGGATCAAGGGATCATCTTGCCAGAGCTACACAAGAGTTCCGGTGTGGGCAGGGGGTCCGAGCTAATCGCGCGTTTTTAATTTCTTTAGGTCGCCACGAACCAGGGTGGGGTCGGCGCTCCTTTTCAGAAGTCGGCGGGCAGTAACTCGAAATCTCCTCTATTGGACTGCAACTTCCACATTGCCACCAAAGGAGATCACCCCCTCCTCGAGTCTTCCATTGGCGCGCGCTACCCGAGTCGATGCCCACGCACCCCTCCCTGCACGAGTGGCACGGCGGACAGCGGGCCCTCGCCCCTCGCTCGCTTGCGAGCCGGGGCGCTGGCCCCGCCGCCCCGCCTCCGCCCCGGGAGGCAATGCAGGCGCTGCGGCTCGTTGACGTCGCCTCAAGCAGCTTTGCAGCAGGCTCCAACGCGGCGTGCTACGCCGGGAGGCAGGCCTCGACAGCGAGTGAGGCACAGAGGGACGTCTGCGTGTGTGCCTCTTTCTTCGAGCCGCGCCGGACAATGATGGAGCTGCGGGTCCTCAAGATCCTAGGCTCGGCGCCTCACCCGAACGTCGTCCGGCTGTACGGTTTCCACGTCGGGCTGCTGCCTTCGCAGTGCATCGCTGGCCATCCCGCCCGCTGCGACCTCTACGTCGGCACTGCAGCCGGCCCGGCCAGCAGCACCGTCCTGTGGCGCGTGCTCGAGCGGTGCGGTGCAGACCTCTACGAAAGGCTCCCGACCCTCCGCAGGGACTCCGGCGCGCAGCTTCCGGAGCCGCTCGTACTCGCGCTTCTGGAGCAGATTGCGTGCGCCCTCGCCCACCTGCATCAACACGGCATCAGTCACCGCGACATCAAGCTCGAGAATGTGCTGGTGGCGCCTTGTGGCAGCCTCAAATTGGCTGACTTTGACTTGGCGTCGGTCGACGCGGCCTGCACGGACACGGTGGGCACGCGCTCGTACGCCGCGCCGGAGGTGCTGGCTGCGAGCGAGCGCGCGCCGTACGCGCCAATGCCCGCTGACGTGTGGTCCTTTGGTTGCCTGGCCTTTGGGCTGGCCACATCGTTCTTCTTTGTGGACGAGGCGAGCGAGCGGGACTGGAGGTTCGCATTGGTCGCGCGCTGCCAGGCGGACGGGCGCAGCGCCCTTCGCGTCCTCTTCTCTGCGTACCGCCTTCCCTGCCCCTTCTCGCCCGAGCTCTGCTCGCTGCTCGACCAGTGCTTGCAAGTCACACCTGCGGCTCGGCCAAGCAGCGCGAGCGTGCACAATGCGCTGGAACAGCTGGTCGTGCGCAATTCGCGCGCCGCGCTGGTGCCGTCGGCGCCGCTCGCGCAGGAGCCGCAGGCTGTCTTCCAACTGTGCGTGCCGCCCTTGTCTTGAACGTGTACTCCCGACATCACGACCAGAGTCCGGACGACACCCGCGTCTTGTGGATATCTGGCATGGACTCGTGCTCTTGATTTCGTGTGTGTGACTGGCGTGCCCACTGTGAGTTGTGAGGCGTTGCTGGTGTGTTCTTGTATTGTGCGCGCCGCCACCGGCCTCCCTCGACGCACTCCCACTCGAGTGCGCCCCGTCCGCCCGTGCGCTGCGGGGGAGCATATGTGTTTGTGCACACCGTGCACGCGTGTTACCCCGTGCGTGCTAGTGTGTCCACTCCTGTCAGTGCGTGGTTTACTACGACCTCACCTGCCTCTTTCCCGCGAAATCGCAACCACGACCGCGCTGAACGCATCTCCCAATGCGACAGAGAGAGACTGTGCAACACACGGCCAGTGACCCGTGAGCGCCCAATCGCCGCGTGGCACCTCGAGCTTTTGTGGCCTTCCCCAGCCCACCACTACCTACCTCCAGGTAGGCTTGAGCTTTCCCAGCAGTCCGAAAAGAGGAACATCACCACTTCGGTAGAATGTTAGAATGTTCATGGTACGCACCAAGCCCGTTGGAGCGGCCGGGCACGGCCAGCCGACGCCGCGGTAGCCCACACCTCGCACGATCCATGCGCCACGAGCAGCGCTGGGTGTCAACTCGTGCCGTTTGCGGGGTCCATGTCGCTGTCGCTGTCGCTGCCGTGTCGGCACGCCAGCTCGTTATTGATTTTATCAAGCCGCGCTCTCCAGTCGGCGCTGAAATCCGGTGCAGGTTTCTGCGTGGGAATAAAGAGCGCGAGCAACGTCGCCCAGATCGTCAACGGCCTTGACGACGTCTCCGACTGCGGCTCGTCAGGGCTCGCGCTGGGCATTTTGGCGAACAAAAGAAATTATTCCGCCGAGGTTCTCGAGGTGGATATGGCCGCGTTGGGTAGCGAGGATTTAATGGAAAAATTTTAGGACAAAAAGTATGACGTCTCCGACTGCGGCTCGTCGAGCGCGCCAGGCATTTTGCGAACAAAAGAATTTTACCAGCGAACTCCCTCGCACGGACACTGGACACGGGACTGGCGCGCACTGGCACTAACACAGGTACACCACGCTCCACGCACCACGGGAGCCGCCTAAGCGACTCCTGCGAACAAAAGAAGCGTCGCCGGCTTTCTCTTTTCTACCCCTGGATCGTCCTTCCAAAATCCTGCTCGTGTCAATGCTCGTGCAGGTAGGGACCCTGTCCTCCCCCCATCCCTCGTCTGGAGCACTTGGAGGTTTGGTGTGTGTGTTTTCTTTCTTTCTTATCGGTGGCTCGGAGAGGAGCCGGCGAGGGAGCGCTGGCCAGGCCAAGCCGGCTGGCCTGGTACGAGTAGAGGGAGAGCGGGCGGCTGCGCCGGCACTGCGGGCGGATCAGGCGGCCTTGTTGCTCACGGCCACCGGCTTGCCCCCGAGGGCGAGGAAGAAGGCGTCCGCCGCCCTCGTCAGCGTGGGCGAGGCGGCGAGCAGCCGGTCGAGGTTCAGCGTAGGCGCAGCGTAGTTCTTCGTCAGCTTGCGGTGGTGCTCCAGGTGGCCGCCTGTTCACAGTTGCACCGCTGCGTCTCTTCTTCCCCGCCTCCCGCCGCTGCGCGAGACGGCCGCCGGTGCTGACAAAGACGGAGGGGAGCAGCGCGGCGGCGAGCGCCTCGAGGCGCGGCGTGTGTATCAGCAAGTTGTTCGCCGAGATGAGCGACACCGCCGCGTACAGCGCCAACGCGTCGGGGCGGCAGACGACGCAGCCAACCACGAACGGCAGCATGTAGGCGATGGCGTACTCGGTGAGCGAGACGGCGTTGGAGGCGCTTGGGACGACGTGCGTAGAGAACTGGTGGTGGAAGGAGTGCGCCCAGTACAGCGCCTTGGTGTGCATCAGCCGGTGCGCCGTGTAGTAGCCCGCCGCGTGCACGAGCACCAGTGCGACCGCCGCGACCGCCGATGAGGCGGGCGGCAGCGCGGGCCAGCAGAAGAACTCCTGTGCCACGTAGTAGACGGCGGGGCCGAGCAGAAAGTTGTTGCGGAGCGTTGCGGCCCACGCCTGCGCGTACAGGCTCGGCGACTTGCGAGCGAGGCCAATCGCGACGTCGAGGCAGAGGAGCTCGAGGACGAGCATCACGACCGTGGTGGACGCAGCCATCCGAACTCCGGCCGCCACGCCCAGGGGCACCGGCCACGCAGTGAGCGTCTGCAGCCAGGCTTGAACCGCCGAGTCGGCAGGGACGAGCATCTCCGGGCGCGGGCGGCGAGCAAGGGAGGGTGGGAGCTGTGAGGGTCCGGCCCACCTATACCCCGACTCGGCGGCAAGGGAGAGTTTGGGCGCTTTTGATAAAGAAATCGTGCGAGGACCAAGACTAGAGCATCTCCGCGGTCTCAAGCAGTGCCGGCCAGGACGGCGGCGCTCCTGGCAGGCGCAGCTTGGCGAGCGACACGGCGAGGGTGCGGGTATCTCCGACGTCGTGCAGCGTGAAGTCGCTCTCGTCCGGATCACACGGCAGATGCAGCTTCGCGTTCGTCAGCACCGCCTCGCCGCCCACGCTGAGCGAGACGGCCTTCGACGTTGCGTTGAGCCGCACGTCCTTCGGCCTTGTCTCCGGCGGCAGCCCTCGTAGCAGCAGCATGGCCTCCGCCGGCGTCTGCTCGAAGGTCCACCGCGTGTGCAGCGGCCCACTCATCGGGCCGCTGCTCAGAGGCCCCGTCAGCGGCGCAGCCTTGGGCGCCGCCCGTCGCATCGCCGCCGCCGTGTCTCGATAGTATCCGAGGCCGTCGCCGCCGCTCTTGAAGACGTAATCATCGCGGCGGCCTTCAAAGGCTGTCGCCGGCACAAACGGCGGAGGCGGAGGCGCGGCGTCGCTCGACTGTGGCCGCTCGGGTGGTGGCAGAAGCACCTCGCCGGCGTTGGGCTGCGCCTTGCGAGCGGCGGCGATAAAGTCGGTCGCATCCCTGAGAATTTGCCGCGCGACCGGATTCCGAGCTTCCTCGATGCGTTGCTGCACCGGGTCGAGGCTGGAGGGCGCAGGCATCGGGTCGAGGCTGCGCTGAGACGCAAAACAGAAGGGCCGATGAGGGGTAGGGATGGAAGCGGCGGCGGAAGAGGCAGCGGCGGTGACGACAAAAAAAGCGGGGACTTTTGTTTCTTTTTGCGCGCCAGTCCCGTGCCCAGTGAAGAAAGAAAAAACATAAGCCAAGGGAGGGATGGGAGGACGGCACGCCGCCACCGTGCCCAGTAAAAGAAAGAATTTTAAGAAAACAGACAACCCAGAGGAGGGATGGGAGGAAGAAAGGTTTTCTAAAATCTCTCTCTGGCAGGACGGCACGCCGCCACCACACATTGTTGGGATTTTAAGGAGAGGGTTGTGGTGCGCTAGCCGTCGCCCACCCTTGGGCGTCTGCCACCGTGCCCAGTGTGTGCGAGGGAGCTTAGTCTACAGTCAGCGCTTTGATCCCAATCACGACACATGTGTGACTCGCCTAGTGTGGAGACGCCGTGTACCGTGGGGCCTTGTTGTCCTAGCACGGGAGTACCCGTGTGGACCGGAGGTAACAGCAGCAGCAGCAGCAGCCTGTGTTAGTTAGTGCCAGTGCGTAGAGCTGTTTAACATTAACTTTGGGCCTAACTAACAGTTGCGCTATTGTTGGCTGAAATCCTTAACGTTGTTCAAGTGTTCACCCCAGCCAATGCTGTTACTGTTTGTTACTGTTGTTACTGTTGTTCAGCGGCCAGCAAGCAGAACGGCAAAAAACCCGGGTAAAACCCAAAAATACCTGGGATTTCCCGGGTATTTTCGGGTATTACCCGCACTGGACGCTGGAGATCGTCGTGGGTCACTGCCAGGCCTTCCTTATTGTTGTTCAGCCGGCCTAACGTTAGCTACTGTTGTTGGGGAGCCCCACTGTTGTTCTGTTGTTACTGTTAACACTAGCAACACTGTTCAGCTCCCAACGTTAAACAGCTCTACCAGTGCGGAGAGAGAGAAGGTATTGTTTGTCCAGTGCGCGCCAGTCCCGTGCAGAACAAAAAAAAGGGAAAAAGTTTTTTCACAGCCAGTGGCGCGGGAGCCGTACTGCGGCTTTCCTTTCCTCGATCGTTGATAAAAGAAAGACGTAGCACAAAAACAGTCCCACCATGCAGAGCGCATCTCTCTCTCTCTGTTGTGCGAGGCGTGAACCGCGCCATTCGCTCTCACCTGGCAACCCTGTCTGCACGTCTCGCGCGCGCGTGAACAGGGCTCCAGGCCCCAAATGACGTGTGAGTGTTAGATTTGTTTGGTATTGCTAAAAATCTCTCTCTCAAAAACAAACCTAGAGCTTCCTGCCGGGCCCGACGCGAGAGTGAGAGTCTCTCTCTAGAGTGTGTGAGTCTCTCTGATGTGGGTGATCGCCCTGCTCGCCACGTCCTTTACGACGCACACCAACGTGCCGCCTGCTCTGTGTCACACTACTCCAGCGGCTGCAGCGCCGCTCGCGCAAGCCGAGGAGAAGGCGCCTCCTGGTCTCCTCAGCCGCATCGCGACTCGCCTTCGCTTTCGCCGCTCAGAGGATGAAGACTCGCTCAGAGCCGGGACGAAAGAGCGATCTATGGAGGCGACCGGCGCGGCCCTCCTCTGGCAGAAGCTCGGTGCATTTCGCGGCGGGCGGCCTCCGTCTCCGTCAGACGAGCAGGCGGACACTTCAGAGACACCCCCGAGACACCTTCAAGACCTCCGCGAACACACGACCACACGGTCCCGCCGTGCTTGAACAGCTCTGCTTCACACCCTGTGATCCCCGCGAGCCTCTCATTCCCACCCGTCTGTGAACACAGCTCTCTTTCACGCTCCCGGAGTCTCCTTTCACGGCCACATCTATTCACAGCTGCGCGACGGGTTCGATGCGCTCGATGCCGACGGCGCTGCCGCCGCCTCGGGGTTCGGTGGGGAGCGTGTATGTTCACACGCTCACCCGTGAATAGGCGACGGCTTTGTCACTGCGGGGGAGCTGCGGGCGGCGCTGGGTGCAGGCACTCGCCACAGAGCCCACTGCTAGCTGGGACTCGTTGACTCACGAGGAGGAAGCGTGGGGCCCGTGGTGGTGAGCATCCGCGAAGACGACGCCTGGACAGGACCTAAGCACGCATGGGCGGGAGACACTCAAGCAAGAGTCACCCCACTGTGCGTAAACGCACGCACACACACGCGCACACAAACACATGCAGACACACACACACACACACACACACACACACACACACACACACACACACACACACACACACACACACACACACACACACACACACACACACACACACACACACACACACATCGACCGACGGGCTCAACACCGCACAGTGCGCGAATAGGTACGGCGCACCAGCCTGGCCCTCGCGTGCTCTCTGTTCACGCTGAGTGGTGTGAATAGGGGCGCCCGTCAAGCCCACGTCACAGCGGCTCATTCAGTTCGCCGACCTGAACGCGAGATGAGCCGAGATTGGCCGAGAACGTCCGAGATTTTCGGGGATCAGATCGCATGATGCGTTGCAGCCAACGGCTAATCTCGGCTGATCTCAAGCCAAGCCAGCTCGTCTCCGACACCCCACTCCACTCCTCCCCCTCCCCCCTCCCCCCACGCTGCCTCGGCCAGGACGACGGCCTTCTCGACTTTGACGAGTACTGCGCAATCCGGCGAGATGCGGCCGAGATGCGGCCGAGATGCGGCCGAGTTTCTCTTTGAGGTTTGGCCACCGATTGAGACCTCGATGCCGCCGAAGCCCCCCCCCCCCCCGCCTCTCCGCAGGCGGGCGGCTCTGCCTCAGGAGTACCTGCTTCGCGCACGCCGCCGGTGACGGTGGGGCAGACGTGTGGGGTCCGTGGGCAGGGGCAGAGCGGCCGGCGAGACCCGTGCGAGAGCATCGGAGGGTGATGCGTGCGCCAGGCGCGCTGGCTCTCCTCTTTTATTTTTATGTGTCGAGATGTGTATCAGATACGAGAGCTCGCGGGGGCTAGCGCGGGCTCGGCCAGTACACTGACCAGTGCGCAAGTGGTGCCAGTCCCTATCATTGAAAGTAGCAGAGGGGTCGGACCACACGCTCTCCGAATGGGATTTTCTGCCCTGCCGCCTGTCGCGGCCCCGCCTGCCTCCCGGGGCCCGCCCGGCCGTGCCATCCGCCGCCGGACCGCCCGGCGGGTCCAACCCGAAGCGGGCGACCGGCCGTTCGCACCGCTCGGCCGGCGGGGCGAGCCCCGCGGCCCTCGATCGCTCGCCCCAGGTCGTGGCCCGACCGGCCCACGCGCACGTCCTGGCCTCTACCGCCGCTTTCGGCGGCGCAATTTGCGCCTTCATCGCTCTCTGGATCCTCCTGGCACCCATCGGACTCTTCCCGACGGTCGGCGGCACCCACTCCGTGCACTTTGAGTCAGACTCGCTCTTCGGCAGGCACGCTCTTCGGCAAAAAGTCGCCGCCGGCCGTTCACGCCGAGCCAGCCAGTTGCCGGCTCGCACGGCAGCCTCTTCCTCTCGACCAGCCTCAACTTCGACACGGTCATCATTTTGTCGCTGCGTGCTCGTGGCGAGCCGGGCGGCGGTCAAAGTTTGCCCAGACGAGCGCCAGGCGATAGCAAGGTCTCTGTTCGCCCTGTGCATGTCAGGCCAGGCTGCAGCGGGGCACTACCATCGTGCTACGCTGTTGCAGCCTGACCTTTCCCACTGTGCACAGCCGCCAGAGCACCACCACCGCCCGGCATCGTGTCACGGCGAGCTCCTTCTGCACCCGTTCGCGAGGCTCTCGCGCTGGCACACTTCGGCCTTCCGCTGCTCGCGTTCGGCGAGCTCTTCTCCGCACTCCTGCCACGGTGCCGTCGCCACACACCTTCTGGCCGGCCTGAGCCATGCGGACTCGACCTCTCTCCCTCTCTGGAGCACGCCACGGGCCGCGACGGCTGCTGGCAGCCGGCCGGCGTGAGGAGGCAGTTTGCCGGCACAGTCGAGCTGGAGTATCCGCTTCTTGATGCTTCTGCGGTCAAGCTCGACCTTATGTGACATGATATGCCACAATAATGCACGCTCTCACCCCTCAAAGTGTCGAAGTTTACCGGTGACTCTCCGGTGGCCCGATAGTACCGTGTGCCTTTTCCTTCAAACGAACGCGCTTCGAGGTTCGACAATCGCTAAGCTGCTTATGGGGCACCGCTGCGACTCCCTTGAGGATGCCTGAGGCCACCCCAAGCACTCCCTAAGCCTTACGTGGACGATTTCAACCCTACTCTGTGTTTGTCTACGCACATTAGCAACTTTGTGCTCATGTCAACGCCACGCCAGTGCTAGCCCATTCAACCCCGCCCCATTGGGGGCGGGGCCCGTCAAGGGCCTCACTCTAGTGGTATTATAAATTTCTTCCCGCGCCAAATGTACCTGCCGGGAGCGCCATGCCCATAGACTTGGACGGCGTGGAGTCGCTCACGAGCATCGTCTCGGCGGCGCTCGAATCGCGCGGCGTGCTCGCCAGGATTCGCGCCGAGCTGCGCGCCAACGTCTTTGCCGCGATTCACGAGGAGGAGCCTGTGGACCAGCGCGGGCCCGAGGCGGAGGCGCTTGCGCGCCTGCGCTCCGAGCCGGCGGGCGAGCTGGCGCTGCACCTCGTGCGCGACCTGCTCAGCACGTGCGGCCTCGCCTACACCACCTCCGTCCTGCTGCCCGAGGCGCGCCTGCTGCCCGACGTTGCGGGGCTTGACAGGGCGGCGCTCGCCGGCTCGCTCGGCGTGCCGACTTCCGCCGCCGAGGACGGCACGCCGCTGCTCGTCTCGCTGCTCCGCTCGCGCGCGGGCGGCACGCCGCCGCTGCCGCCGCGGCCCAGCTCTCCTCCTCCGCCGATGCCGCCGCCCGCCGCCGCCGCCTCGTCGCTGCGACCCGGCTCGTCGTCAGCCCCCGGCTCGTCGTCAGCCAAGCCGCTCGCGCCGGCGGGGCGGCGCGGCGCCGGCCACCTCTCGGACCTGCCTCCGCTCGGCGGCGGCGCCTCCGCGAGCGGGCTGCGGCTGACCGACGAGGAGCAGCGGCTCGACGCGCTGGAGAGCAAGCTGGCCGGCTTGGCGGGGATGCAGCTGGAGGGGGCGGGCGACGAGGGGGACGAGATCGACGAGGAGATCGAGGACGAGTTCGAGGAGGACGATGACGACGACGCGCACGGCCTCACTGCCTCGCGCCGTTTCGACGCCTCGGTCGACGAGTCTGTCTCTCCTGGCAGGTTGGCGCGGCTCGAGCAGCGGTTCGACCACAGCGAGGAGGCGTTGCTGCCGCGCCGGTGAGCGCAGGCGAGCGGGAGGAGTCGGGCCGCGGGCGGAGACTATGGCAGTCTGTCGCATCGCATAAACGACGTGCCAGTGCGGCGCGCACAAAGCAAAAAGTGTATCTAGCCAAGCGGAGAGAGTGTGTGAGAACGAGAGCCGCGCTCTCCCACTCCCGACTCCGCACTCTCCGCGGCGAGGTATACATAGGAGTCGGGTCGTCAATGTGCCAGAGCGGCGCCAGCATGCATGGGAACACGAAACGTCACGGTCATTACGTAAGAGCACATTCAAAAGCACTGAGCAGTAAGCACACCACCTCTAAGACCACACCCAAGCGACCTGCTGTAACTCACACTAACACACACGTCGCACATTCACACTGTCCTCCCGTTATCGTCGTCTTCATCGAGAGCGAGCCCGTCACAGCGCAGCTTGGATAGCGGCGCCGCGAAGGGTGCGTTCAGGCCTGTGCAACACGCCAGCGCACCGCAGAGCAAACAGCACGGCCAAAGACAGGACACGACGCCCACGAGTATGGGCGCCTCGACGCTCGGTCCCAGCGTGTAGACTGCGAGCGCAGATGCGCCGCCCATTGTGAGACAGCCGGCGCCCTGGATGAGCGAGTCGATCCGCATTGATCCGCCGCTTTTGGTCGGAGGCGTTTTGGTGGAGGAGGCCGGAGCGAGCCAGCGTCACAGGAGGTTGCCGAAAGCTGCTGCTGCGTCACAGGAGGTATCTTAGAGCGTCTTATCTTACCTTATATTTCCCGCTGGCCCCTTTCTTCGTTTCGCCGGCATCGCCAAAAGTGATACCAACACATATGCCCCTCTCAGCAGAGCAGCAGCGCGAGCGCCGCGCAGTAAAGCGCGCTGCAGAAGAGGCAGCTGGCGTCTTCCGTCGCCGACGCGGTCGTCTCGCTGCAGGGCATGTGTGGGACGAGCAGACTGGCACAGCCGTGCCGCAGGCGACGCAGCCTCCAACGAGCCCATCAGCGGAGGAGGGTGAGAGTGTCCCTCTCACTGCTGGCCTGGCTGTGCCGCACTATTTGCTCGATCGCGGCGAGCAGGCCAGGAGACCAGATCACCCAGCTTGGCTTCCCTTCGACCCGGATACCGATGACTACGATTCCGATGGCAGCAGCGGCGAGGAGGACTCCGATGGCGGCTGCAGCAAGCTTGAGCGGCGCGCCGAGCGGTTCAGCAACAACTGGGCTGCTCAGCAGGCATGCTGGAGGCGGGAGCACCTCGCAAGCATGGCAAAGCGGGCTGCTGCTGCCGTTGCGTGGGATCAGAAGCACGGTGCCCGGCGTGACGCGGAGCTCGAGCGCGTCATGGCAATGCGCGAGCGAGACGAGCTCGACTACTTCTGGGTGGAGGTGCGCCCGCAGTCGCCGGCACCATCCTCCCCTTGGAAACTGCGTGAGGCCAAGCACCTTGAGGCGGACGCGGTCCGCACGCTCGGCGTCAACGAGCTGAACATGTACGAGCCGCTACTTCTCTACTCTGGCTTCGCTCCATTCACGGGCAGCCTCGTCGAAGCCAGCGCATACTTCCGAGGTGGCCAGTGCGACAAGGATTGGCTCGAGGACGAGCGCGAACGGCTCTTTGACGCGCTTGATGCTGAGATGCCACCACTCCCGGATCCCTCGCCACCACCTCCGCTGGATCTGCTCGCTGTGCATCCGCTCGCCAACTATGGCAGCCGCGCAGGCGACCTGCAAGCCACTGACTACGACCCCTGGGAGCCAGAGCAGTCAGAGCTGCCCACGCAGACATCATCATCACCACCACCACCCCCGCCGGCACCAGCACCAGCCCCAGCGGTCGACGCGCTCTCACTTGGTGAGGCCGCTCACCACGCTCTCATCGCTCCGTTCCCACTCAATGCTCCCACCGATGGCCCTCGCATCATGGCGCGGCTTGATCCAGAGACATATGAGCCGTACTACTATGCTGAGGACGACATCGAGCGGCAGGCAGCGCGTCGGCTTGAGCTGCTCGACACGACCGTCTCCAACCCAGGCTGGATGAGGGAGCAACATGACCCTCTTGCTCAGCTTACGGATTCTGACGCACGGCCGGTGACGCCGCCAGATCGCACAGCGTTCCCACGCGGTGAGGATGGACGGAAGGACTTCCATAACGAGCGCGCCAACTACTACTATGATCGCACTGGCGAACATCTTGAGGGTCCGCCTGACGCACCGCGCTCGCTGGCCGAGCAGCATGATCTCTTCCACAATCTGACACGCAACTTCCGCACGCGTAATGATCTATGAGAGGAGGTCGGTGCGCCGCTCCCACTCCCAAACTCAGCTCCGCCCTCATCGACGCACAGGCTGATCGGCGTGGGTGGAGTAATGCCGACCCACCAGACGCCGGCCAGGGCGCGCTCGCGATGCCCCTGGTCGGGCTGGGGGAGTGTTCGACTACGCGCGAGGCAATGACATTCCCCCTCCTCTCCCTGATGACACTTTCGACCATGGCTCTGGAATGGGTTCGAGGCTCCTGCGCCGCTTCCAGTACTGACTGTCAACTCGTCCCTGATGTTTCCAGGTAGGTGCCCTTTGGCAACGCGCTATTCCTAAGTACTCTCTCTCAATCATGCGCGAGATGAATTTGTTTAACCTTTAAAGCTGTCAAAGAGAAAAACAACACGTTGGGCTGCCAAGGGAGAGGAAAACAAACCCGCCGCGCGTGCGCGCCTGGTCTGCTAGTGAGTGAAAAGGCAACAACCCCGGTAGTAGTATAATAGTATGTGGGTAACACGGCGTCTGCACACTAGGCGAGTCACACATGTGTCCTGATTGGGCTCAAAGAGATGAGTGAGAGTCATGAATGAATGAATGTATGTGTGTGTTGTGTATGTATGGTTCTTGCACTTGTGCAAGATTGGGCGTCTTCTTTCTGCCGCAGTCCCTTTGAGAGAGAGAGAGAGAGATTTTTAGCAATACCAAACAAATCTAACACTCACACGTCATTTGGGGCCTGGAGCCCTGTTCACGCGCGCGCGAGACGTGCAGACAGGGTTGCCAGGTGAGAGCGAATGGCGCGGTTCACGCCTCGCACAACAGAGAGAGAGATGCGCTCTGCATGGTGGGGCATAAAAGAGAGCGAGTACTTGGGCGAGTAGGCCGTGCGGTCGACGCTGCCGCGCGCGACTTTGCGCGCGAGGCGGCGCAGCTTGAGAACGGCGGTGGGCGAAGCCGCCGCCGAACGTCTCGTGGAGCAGCAGGTTGAAGTTGTTGCGCTTGACAAAGATCGCGTCGTGGTAGAAACCGCGATGCGCCTTGACGTAGCCGTGGCCGGTCTTGTGGGAGAAGGGTTGGCCGGGCTGCCCGCGCGCCTTGCAGCCCATGTTTAGGCGGCGGGCCTTCTCTTCGGTGTTACCAAAGGCGTAGGAGTGGCCGACGGAGGCGGGCGTGCCGCCACTCGAGGCGTTGCCAACGCCCGGCGAGGAGGTCTTGAGGAGGGGCGTCCAGAGCTTGATTTCATTCACGTCATCGCACCCTCCTGGTCCCGCATGGGGTTCTGCGAGGTCAGTCTTGTACCCCTCGTTGTACTGCCGGGTGAGCTCTGGTTTCTCCTTGTCGCCGTGCACGACCGGCGCGTTGGCCGGGGCGCGCATCGCGTCCGCCCAGGCGGCGAGGACGCCGTCGTGGGGCCGCCGGTGGTGGGCCTTGTTGTAAAGGTAGTCGCCGAAGAAATCGACTGGCATGCCCCGCTCGAGCGCGACCCGAAGGGTGGGAAGCGCCGCGGAGAGCCAAAGGCCGAGCTTTCGCTGGAGCTCGTCTTGGAGGGTGTCGGAGGAGAGGGCGGTGGCGTACGTACCGTCGACACGGACATCGAAGGCCTTGCCGGCGAAAGGCGTTGAGGCGGAGACGAAGCGCGCGGCTTCGCGGTTGTTGACGGCGCTGTCTCCGAGGGACGGGTTGTTCTTGACGTGCACATCCCGCGCCTTGACGAGCTCCTGGTGCGCGTACCAGTCCTTGTGATTCTTGATGGCAGCGAGCGCCCGCGGCCGCGGGTACGTGGATTTGCAAGTGCCATTGAGAATCGCGTCGGTAGCTGGAAGGGACTCGGGCTCGGGGAGCGGGACGCTCTTGGGGTAGAACTCAGTCAGGTAGCCGCCGCGGACGGTGTAGTACTTGTTTTTGTCGCGGGCGGCGCGCTTCTCGCACACCTCCTTCCAGTCCGAGAGGGCGGACTCGTAGGTGGCGATAGCTGCGGCGATGGCGGGGTACTTGGATGCACCTCCCTCGTCATGTCCCTTTGATGGGAGGCCCCAGGGTTCCGGCTCCTACCCAGATAGGGGGTCTGTTCCCTACGGTTAGACCCCATGCAATTAGGTAGGTAGGTCCGGTTTTGACCGCCCCAGAGGGCCCCGCAATAGGTAGGTAGGTGGTGGTGTTGGTGGGCCCGCGGGGGGGGTTGGGGGGGGGGGGTAAAAAAACCGCTTCGCTCGCGCGCGGGAGACGCGCTAGCCGCGAACGGGGCCATGCCAGGCGAGTCGCCTGCGGCTGGGACGCCAGCCGAGACGGGTGCGGCGGCGGCGCCCGCGGTGGCGGCGCCCGGGTCGGCAGCGCCGGCGAACGCGCCCGGGACGGGTATTTTTCGCTTCGCTGCGCGGCCTGGGAATAGGTAGGTAGGTGGGGCACGGAGCCTGGCGATTGGCGCCCGCAATAGGTAGGTCGGTAGGTAGGGCGTTTTGGTGCGAGTCATAGGCAACAGACCCCCTATCTGGGTAGGAGCCGGAACCCAGCGTCACAGAGAGGTTGCCTAAAAAGAATTTACATTGGGCTCACCCTCTACACCGACGAACCACAGCGCCTCATAGAGCTCTAGAGCTCTATGACAGACTCGACACCAACAGACTCAACCGAAGCCGCCTCCCAGCAGCTTCAACTTCCCGTTACGCTGACGCTGCCGTCCTCCCTGGGCCTCGTCCGGGTGCACGGCCAGTCGTTCGCGCTGGCCCGGCGCCTTGTGCGTGCGGTGGAGGCGTCGGCGGGAGGGATCGAGGTGATGGCAGCGCCGCACGGCAGCGTGCTGGTCGTGCTCTGCGCGCCGGACTCGCTTGATCGTGTCGCTGCCATTTGCGGCGCTCCGGAGTGGGCGAGCGTGCTCTCCTCAAGCGTCGTCGCTCTCGACGAGGCGGGCTGCCACGCCGAAGGAGGCGCGCTCAGTGCAGCGGTTGAGGAGTGGATGACGCGCAAGCTCCACGTCGAGGAGGGCTACCTGCGGCTCAGCGAAGGCTGGCTCGTCGATGTGAGCGCCGGGGGCGCGCCTTCCAGACCGGTGCCATTTCCAACGGCGTCCGCCTTTCGGCTTCGCCTGCGGCTCAAAGGGTGCTCACCGCTCGATGCCGCTCGTTCTTCCGTCGAGGCCACTTTGAGTATTCGCTTCGAAGGTCGCCGGTGGAACCCGTCCGCCGACGCCGTGGCCGGGCTCCTGCAGAGCGACGACGCCATCGGGGCTCAGCTTCGTGAGGCGGGATCGGTGGACCTCTCCTCTGCCCGCTGGTGGTCTCGCTTCTGCGACCCTGAGCGAGAGGGCTCCTTCGCCAACGAGATCTCTCTCCTACCCGACTTTGCCCCGGCCACGATTGTCGGCCTCTCCTTGACACCACCTCGCCACCTGCCGTGCGGGCCGCATCGCACCATGGTGCCGCAGCGCAGGGCGGACGCCGCAAGCATCGAGGCCGAATGGGCAGAGGGGTACGGCCTTGTCGGCCTCACCTCTACTGCCGCGGACGGGCGGACGCCGCTCTTTGCCACTGTATCGCTCGGGGCGCCCGAAGAGCACGAGGTGTGCAGCGGTGGCTCGTGGCGCGTCGTACCCGCCGCCGCGGTTTGGCCCCGGCCAGGCATGCGAGTGGCCCGGCGCCTCACGCAGATTCGTCTCCCGACAGAGAGGACGCTCAGCCGGATCCTCCCGTGGCTCGGCAAGGTATCCCTCCTGGGCGAGTGCCTCAAGCTCTCCTGCGCGGCGGCAGACGTCATGCTGCAGCGCTGCGTGGGGGCTGAGCCTGCCCGCCCCCCAGCGGACCGGCGAGACCAGGAGCCCGACGGCGTCACCAGGGGCGTGCCGCCGCCGCCAGCCAAGCGTGCGCTCGCCGGACGGGCGCGGCCAAGCCTCTCGGCGGCGACGGCAGCGGGAGGGACTCCACCTACCCCTGCTCAAGCCCGGATTGCGGCGCCCTCGAGACCACCTCTCGGCGCCTTCTCGAGGACGAGCGCAGGCGGACCCGCTCGCGCCGCACCCACGGCGGCCGCGAGGGTTGGTGGCGGTGCCGGTTCCGGCGGGCGACGTACCTTCAAGCTGTCCGGCAGCCGTCCCGAGCCGCCGATCGCCAAGAAGTCTGCGGGCACAAAGCCCAAGGGAGCGGCGCCGACACTCGCGTCGGCGGTCCTGGTGTCGGATCACGACGAGTTGCGAGCGATGCGCGTGCCGGAGCTGAAGCAGCAGCTCGCCTTGCGCAAGCAAAAGGTGAGCGGCACTCGGGCGGCACTACTCGAGAGGCTCGGCGTTGGGCAGGCTCATGCCTCCGGAGCCAGCGCGGCAGCGCCGCCCACATCGTCGCCGGCAGCCTCAACGCCAGCCGCAGCATCCACCCCACCGCCAGCGGTCTTCGCGCGGCAACCAGCGCTCTCTCCGGCCACGGCGGCCGCGGCGGTCGCGCCACAGCCTGCGGCACCAGCAAAGTCATCGCGAGCGGCCAAGCGGGTGACGTGGGCCCCCTCAGTAGTGGAGAAGGCTCCCGCGGCGACCTGGCCGGGAGAGCACAAGGCTGACTGGCTGCAAGAGGCGAGCGGCGTGCTCACCCCCGTGGCCTCGAGCTTGCTCCGCTGCGCGTTTGCCCGCTTCGACGCTGACGCGGACGGGGGCCTCTCTCCCTCCGAGCTCTCGGCCTTCAACGCAGCAACCGGATCGGGCGAGCTCGACGCGGAAGACCTCGCTTGGATTCTGAGCTCGTTCGGGACGCACATGCCCAGCGGCGGCCTCAGCGTCGAGGGCTTTGAGGCTTACTTCGTGTCGGCGCTCAGAGACGACGAGACCTTCGAGGAGACGATCGCAGACGTGCAACGGATCTCAGCATGCTTGGCGCACGGCTGAAGAGGGATGAGGGAACCGCCAGATGTGTGCAGCTCTGACTCGCATGCGCCGCGCCGGCCGCGCAGAGCTCGACCGAAAGCGGAAGGCGAAGGGGGAAGAACGGCGCATCGGCGGCCGGCGGCGATCTGATTCGCAACATGGCCGGGCTGGGAGCGCGCCCGCTCGAGACAGCGCGTGACAAAAGAAACGGGACTGGGATGTGTGTGCGCACAAGCCCGTGGCCCTGTGCTCACCCCATAGCAGCGCGCGACGATCACAAATCGCAGCAAGCTGCGCTGTGAATTGTGCTGCTGAACAAGAAACACGGACCGGCGCCGCCCGTGTGATTGCTGATTCTGGAAGTTCATCGCCGACCCCCCCTCCCCTCTCCCCCAATGCGCAATGCGCACTCTCAACCTAGCGAGGCGGCGGCGGCGGCGCCGACGGGCGAGGCCGACAGAGGCGGCGGCGAGCTGTGCCTGTAAACCAAGGCCTCGCCAAGCGGCTCGCCATGTTCCTCGAGCCGAATCACGGCGTCGTCCATCGAATTTGAGCGCTCGAGTTTGAGCGCGCACGCCGCGCAAGCAGAGCGCGCTTGGATCACTGAGTGAGGACCTGCACATTGCCTGACTGCCAGCGCACCTCGACGCGCAGCGGAACACCCGAGGGCCCGAGCCCAAAGGCGAGCCGGTGGTCGAGGCAATTGCGGCGGTTTTTCCCACCAGAGACGCTGTGTTTGGCTCGCGCATCTGCTGTTGCGTGGCATATCGCCCGGCGCACGTTGCCAAGTGAGGAGCACTGTCGCTCCGATGCACTCTTTCGTTTGCTCACGGTGCCTGCAAGCCGGAAGGCGATGTAGGAGTTGCCCGGGGTTCCCTTATTCCATAGTACGGAAAATCGTTTTGAAAGGCATCAGGTCAGGTCGAGGAATCCGGTCATTGTCCTCTCAAACCAAGAGGCCGTTGTTGGTGTGGGGGCTCGACGGACCTGTGCCCCGAACGGCGCAGAGAGATCCGATCGCCCGTCGCGGTCGATGTCGAGGAGCGCGCCACCGTGCGCATCAAATCTCTCATGACACCACGAGTGCTGCGCGCAGTACGTAGGCTGCTCATTCGAACCGCTGACGTATTGTCGCAGGAGGTGAGGTGCGAGGACTCTCACGAGGACCAGTAGCTCGACCTGTATCGAGAAGCTTCACCTATTATTCTCCCCTCCCCCCCCCAGAGTGATGAACAGTCTACCCTATCCCTATATCCCCATATTCGCACACCCTGTGCAGTGGCGCGCCTTGCCACCTAGACCCCTAATATTAGCACCTTGGGCGCCGAATAGGCGCCCAAACATTGGCACGTAATAGCTCTCCAACTGCTCCGTTGCGCCGCGCGCTGCGAGACAGTGCAACCCTTTCGTTGTGCGCTAGCCACAACCTGGTGCGTAATAGTGCCATTCCGCCCAACCGGTGCGTAATTGTGCCTTCGTACTTTGAATGGACCCTACAAACATACACTTCTCGGACGAGGAGGCTCGCTCTGTCGCGGGTCCTCCTGTCCTCCATCACCCGCGACCAACTCACAGGACCGCGTACGGCTCACCATCACCACTCTTGCTGAACACCGACCTTCGGGTTCAGATGCCGATCCCTTTGCAAACGAGGGAAGAGGGACGCCTCGCGATACTACGGAGGGCCTCGACAAGATGCACGGTCAGACCACACCCCGATCCCTACCACACGTATTCTGTGTATTCTGTGTATGGCACCGAGCTGGACTCGTCCCTCGAGGTCGAGCGCATACCCGCTGCCGGTGTTGAGTGCGGGGTCCCTGGGGAAAAAGAAAGAAAGAAAACACACACCCAAACGAGGGATGGGGGAGCAGAGAGCACTTGGAGCACTTGGTCTTGGAGTGCAGTCATCACAGCCTCACATCCAGGGCCGGGGAGCTAAGGAGCGCACCCAGCGGGCCGGATGATTGGCATCGGGTTGCGGGCAAGAGAGCCCTAGCCCAGGGGGTGCGCGTTCGCGGGGAAGTGGCCGTAAAGTAAACACGGGTCTCCGAGGGTTAGTACCGCGCTCCAGGTTTCCCCTAGCAGCAGAACGCCCCCTCTACTCGGAGCTAGTAAACACCAGACAAGGACACGCGACGACACACACTCCCCCTTGGCGACGGCGTCGCCAATCACAACCCCTCGCCCGGTCTCCCTGCCCCGGCTCCGGCGGGCGCCAAAGGTTTTCTTGCGTGCTCACTCTGGAGGCGGGCGCGCGTACTCACTCTCTGCGCACATATATGACGACTCCAGACACCAGCATGCTCGCCCACTACAGCCCTGAGGTCCTCGCTCTGTGGGGCGCTTCGGACGAGACGGCGTCTGAGAAATGGCGGCAGGACAAGATTGCGGATTTCGAAGCGGGCGGAGCGATGAAGGAGAAGCATGGCACAAGGGAGGCGCTTGACGCCTGGATGAAGGAGAAGGTGTATGGCGTGGGCGGCACGATGGATAAGACGCTCAAGATCCGTGGCAATCCGAAGGTCTTCTTTGACATGGAGATTGGCGGCGAGCCCGCGGGGCGCGTTGTCATGCAGCTGCGGGCGGACGTTGTGCCCAAAACGGCCGAGAACTTCCGCCAGCTCTGCCTCAAGGAGGAGGGCGAGGGCTACAAGGGCTCGTCCTTCCACCGCGTGATTCCCGGCTTCATGTGCCAGGGAGGCGACTTCACCAACCACAATGGAACCGGCGGCAAGTCCATTTATGGCGAGAAGTTCGAGGACGAGAACTTCCAGCTCAAGCACACCGGCAAGGGCGTGCTCTCGATGGCCAACGCCGGCCCCGGCACCAACGGCAGCCAGTTCTTCCTCTGCACCGCCAAGACGGCTTGGCTCGATGGTGAGGACCGCCAGGTGCGGCCCGGGGGAACCAGGGCGCGTGACGGAGTGCGCCCGCGCCGCCGCAGGCAAGCACGTCGTCTTCGGCAAGGTAGTCAAGGGCATGGACGTCGTGGTCGCCGTCGAGGCGGTTGGCTCCCAGGGCGGTGAGACGTCGAAGAAGGTCGTCATCAAAGGCTGCGGCGAGCTGGCGGCGTCGGACCCCGCCTTCCTCGACAAGGACTGAGGGGGCGGGGCGGGCAGCGGGCGATCGGCGGCGGCTGTGCGCACATACTCGGTTGCGCGCGGCGCCCGCTCTTCCGCTGCCGCTCCACCGCTCGCGCCGAACCCGAGAAGTCGGTTAACCGGTTTGCTGAGTCGGTAGTATAGAGAATAGAGTCGGTCAGGACTCAGGTTGAGCTGTACGCATGCGGTAGTCAGTAGGAGCGGCTCGCTGTCGCTCCGTTTTATTTGGGCCTTTTTTCGCTGTCTCGAGTGCCCGCGGACCCTTGGGGTTGACCGCGCAGTTGAGGGCGCGACCCCTCTCTTGCTCTCTCGGTTTCCGGGTCGGCCGGGGTGTTATCCACCTCGCACCTGCGAAGTTGATGCCGAAGCTCGTGGTCGTGCACGCCGACACGGTGTTGCGTGAAAAGGAGGCTTAAAGGACCAATCGACGTCGCGCTCGGCCAGCGCCTCGCGTGGCCGTAGGCGTAGCCTCCCTACGCTACCTGATGGTGGCACGACGGTGGTGGGGCTGATCCAAAGCAGCCATTGGGGGCGTTTCATGTCTGAGCCGCCAAGGACTGAAGATCCCTCTCACCACAAGATGATCCCTAGAATCCATCTCGGCTCGCAGTGCATTTTATTTATCGGACGGTCGGCGTTACAAAAACGACGGGCCGTTTGTTTGTGCGTGCCCATGGCCGCGCTCGCGCGACGGTCGTCTGTGGGTAGCCTCAGCGTGCCCAATTCTCCGTCACGGGCAAAGGGAGGCGTTGGCGAGGGCCAGCTCTCGTACGACGAGGTTCAGGCCGAGTGCCGCCGGCTGCCTGCCGGTGGCCTCTGGGAGGACCGCAGCTGGTCAGGCAATGTGGTGCGTGCCTGCTCTCCCCGCCCGCGGCGGCGTGGCCCGCACTGACGCGTTGTGCTGTCTCACCAGGCGCTGTACAAGCCGCGCTCGGCAACCAAGTACAACGGCGGAGAGCCGATCCGGTGGCTTCGGCCGACAGAGATGCATGGTGCCGACGCCTCGGGTGCCTCGACCCGGCTGATTCGCGGTGGGATGGACGCTGGGGACGTCGAGCAGGGGGAGCTGGGCGACTGCTATCTGCTCGGCGCCATGTCAGCCATCGCAGCGGCGACAGACGACTCGGGCGTGCAGGGCGAGCTCTTTTACAAGCTGCTGCGCAACCGCGACGGGGCGGATGACGACTTGAAGAAAGGATTCTGTACGTTCCTCCTCTATAAGTTTGGGACGTGGGCCGAGGTGACGGTGGACACGCTGCTGCCGTGCGATGCCGCAGCCAAGCCACTCTTTGCGCATGGCAAAGATCCCAACGAGTTGTGGGTGCCGCTGCTTGAGAAGGCGGAGCTGCCGCCCGTCTGCCCCCAAGTCAGCGCTCACCACCCCTGCCCTCACCGCCGCCGCCCTCCACGCCAAGGCGTACGCGAAGCTGCACGGCTCTTACGAAGCGCTTGATGGCGGCTCCGTCACTGCAGCGCTGGTCGACCTCACGGGCGGAATCGCCGAGACGCTGGACTTGTCGGAGGAGGACGAGCTGCAAGAGCTATACGATGGCTCGATGTGGAAGCGCATGGTGCGCTACGCGAGCGGCACCGCACCAAATTGCTTCTACCTGCTCGGCGCGGCGCTGGCAAAGTCAGACGTGCAGGACGACGGGTGCGCCAGGCGGAGGTGAGCCGGGCTTGACCAAGACGCGCGCATGACATGCGCATGACACGTCTCATAGGCACCAGGAGGAGGTACAGATGACGGACGCAAACATCCTGGTCAACCACGCCTACACGCTGCTCGAGGCGCGCGAGGTGCCCGAGGGGGTCGGCGAGAAGGTGAAGCTCCTGAAGCTGCGCAACCCGTGGGGGATGCGCGAGTGGTCCGGCCCGTGGTCGGACGGTTCGGACGAGTGGAAGACCAAGGCGGGACAGAAGGCTAAGGCGGACCTCCAATACGTGGAGGCGGACGACGGCACCTTTTACATCTCGTGGGACGACTTCCAGGCCTGCTTCAACAGCCTTCCCCGCCGTGTCCCTCGCCTGCTGTCGCGACCACCACCGGCATTGCCCCCGTCGTCGCCTGCACACTCGCCTCCGCGACCGCCCTCACCGCTGCCACTTGCCCCGCCACTTCCCTCGCTTCCAGGCGCACTTTAACCGCATCTACGTCTGTCGCGTGGCCGAGACGTGCGACGGCGCCGGCTTTAGCCCCGAGCAGGCGCGGCAGGGCGCGGGTGGGCCTCCCGGTTGCTGGTGCAAGTATGAGCTGGACGGAGAGTGGACCGCCGACAGCGCGGGTGGCTGCTTCAATTTCCCCTCCTGGCGGACCAACCCGCAGTACGAGCTGGTTGTGGGCCAGGAGACCAACGCGTTTTTCATCCTGATGCAGCCCGACCCTCGGATGGACAAGAGCAAGCTGATCGTCAAGGGCGAAGGCGACGAGGGCGGCCCGAAGTACGACCACAAGATCGGTATGTACGTGATGAAGGGGCACGAGCAGTTCTCACGCAAGGTAATCTTTGACTCGGAAGAGATCGAGGGCGACGACGTGCTCGACTCGACGCCGTACATGGAGTACCGCGAGGTGCGTCGCCTACACGTCTCGCCGACCGCCACCGTCACCGCCTCCACCACCCTCGCCTCCGCCGCCTTCTCCGGCTCCTCTATCGTCGCCGCCCGCCAGCGCCACCGCTTCTGCCATCTCCCACCGTCACCCCACCTCCTAGGTGCACTGCAACACGATGGACGAGGAGGACGAGCCCAAGCTTGGTGAGGGAGAGCGGGTCGTGCTGTGCCCGTCCACGTTTAAGCCGAATAAGCTCGGAAAGTTCCGGATCATCGTGCTCACCGAGAGCGCGCTGCTGCAGCCGCCGAGGCCACTGGCGCCCCTCCACGCGCTGCGCCAGGCGGGACGCTGGGAGGCCGGCACGGCCGGCGGCTCACGCAACTGTGTCACGTGGCGCAAGAACACTCAGTACCAGCTCAAGCTGTCGCGGCCGAGTCGCGTCTCTGTGCTGCTTATGCGGCACGACGAGGACGCAACGACCTCGGATAAGCCGCTCGGCGCCAAGAAGAAGAAGGCGAAGAACCCAAAGCGGAAGAAGGCCGACCGTGCCCTCTCCCCTTCGGTCTCGGTTCAGCGACACGGGTCGACGTGTCCGTGACGCGTCCTTTAGGCCGACAAGATCTTCTTCATCGGCTTCGTGGTCGTGCGGCCGCTCGCTGCACAGGCGGGGAAGCGGATCGTGCACGTCGAGGACGAGGCGGTGCTCGAAAAGACGAGCTATTCGCCTAACTTTGAGGTCAGTCGCGAGTTCCACTCGGGATCCATCGCTGCAGACCCAAACTACTCGGACGATTGTTTCGTCATCGTCCCGACGACCTTCAAACCCGACATCGTCGGCGAGTATGACCTCGTTGTGTACACCGACGACGCCTCGGCCACGCTCGAGCAGCTGCCCAAGTCCACCTGGCACGAGACGAGCGCGCGCGGCGAGTGGGTCGGCCGGTCCGCCGGCGGCTCCCGCAATCACCCATCGTGGGTATGCAACCCGCTCTACTCGCTGCAGGCGCACTCAGCCTTGCACTCCCCGAGCACGAACAACCCTTGCACACATGCTTGACGGACGACGGACCACACGTACACACGGGGGAGCACCGCGAGGCGAACGATCGCTCGTGCCTGCAGGCTCAGCGCGACACAGCGGTGCACATCTTTCTCCGCCAGCCGGCGCAACCAGGCGAGGCGGCCGTGTACGAGGGCATCGGCTTCTACGTCGCGCGCGACGAGGACGAGTCGCTCGACCTGAGCGACGTGCTCTGCGAGTCTGGATTCCGCAAGCAGGAGGAGGTGCACGCGACTATTCAGCTTGTGGCGGGTAAGCGGTACCTGCTTGTGCCCATGACGTACCGCAAGGGCGTGCACGCGACCTTCGAGATCGAGATTTCCTCAGACCAGCCCCTTGCCTTTGCGAAGCTGTCCGAGCAGGAGGCGCACGCCCGCCGGAGCGAGCAGCTCGAGGACGAGGCGGTGCGCACCATCATCCAGAGCTGGGCTCGCACCAAGATCCGGCGCGAGCTGCGCAAGGGCCCCGCGGGGCGCGAGGAGGCGCGTCGGCTGATGGACGACTTCTTCCGTATGCCGTCCCGCCACACGGACGAGGGCTACCTCGATATCAACCTCGCGCTGAACGCGCTCGAGTCGGCTTTCATCCAGCTGACGGGCAAGGGGGACGCCAAGGGCTCCTTCTTCCCGCGGATGCGCGAGCGCTTGCGGGATCGCAACCACAAGGTTGCCGATTACGACGTGTGCCTCTGAGTCTGACTCTGAGTCTGACGGGACCGCACACCGCGTGGCGTGGTTCCTGCATATGTACGTTATGCGCGATGCAGAAACATAGACGTTTAGGAGCTGCGATACACGCGATAGGTAAGAGAGAGAACAGACACACGTGTGAGGCGCGCACAGCACAGGCGCTCCGTGTAGCGGGGTACACACCGTCACCGACTCACACACACATGCATCGACATGATCGGTAATCTGCGGGGGCGCACATGAAGGATTCAAGGCAATCGACAGATAATCTACGCACGTACTCGAGCACACTACGATCTCAGCAGACCACGAGCGCGTCGCGCATCCAGATGAACGCCCCAGGATTGTGGTCGAGTAGCTCAAACAAGTCGGCGCTTGCTATGCGGAAGATGGTGCCCGCGGTCACCGCGGTCAGCGTCATCTCGTGCGGCAGCCGCTGCTCCAGCGCATAGACATTGACGAGGAGTGCGCCCGCCCGGAACGGCTCGAGGTCCTCATCCGAGACGCCACTCGCGTCGGGGAGCTCCCGGAAGGCAAGCTCTGCGTCGCCGACTAGCACCGAGTCGCAGACCTCCTTGCCCTTCTTCCAGACGACGTCGCCGCACCGCACCGTCTCCTCACGCATCACCGACTGGAGCTGCGTCACCTGGGACATCGAGAAGCTGGCAAAGACCGAATTGGCGCCGATGGCCGCCCAGGACGGGGCGTGGTCCAAGAGCCTGTGGGGTGGCAGGGGCGAATCGGGCGTGTTCACCTTGTGAGGACGAGGGGGCCTGGGCGAGGGGGTTGCTGGGGTTGCAGGGGTTGCTAGGAGCCCGGGAGCCGAGCGGACGGCGAGCCGAGCGGAAGGGTGCGGGCGTCGGCTCACTGCGCGCGCTGCTGGATGCGATGCAGTAGCTGCGGCCGGCGCCGCAAGAGGTACTGCACATCGCCGCGCTCGATCTCGAGCATCTCGACGTCGGTCATCGCGGTGGCGGTGGCGCGGTGGCGCCCATCGGTAAGCATCACTTCGCCCTCCCCAAAGTAGTCACAATACCCGAGGGTCCGCGTCGCGCCGCTGATGCCTGCGTACTGCACGGCGCCGGAGCGCACGATGCGCAGCAGTGCGGGGCCGGCCTCGCCCGCGCGGCAGATGATTGCACCGGCAGTGTACGAGCGTGGGACAATGCAGGCGAGGACGTCGCACGCCGAAGCGACGTCGAAGGATCGGAAGAGGTCGGTCGCCTAACGGATTAGAGTCGGGGCTCCGAGGGGGCTCCGGGACGGCTCCGGAGCAGCGTCTTGGCTCGGCCGGTCACCTGCAGGATCTGCAGGATCTGCTTGGCCTCGGCGTGGCGTGGCGGCTCGGCGTCGATGCAGATGGTGTGCTCGAGGCCGGGCCGCACCTTTGCAAAGCCGCTCCCGGCCGCTCGCTCGTCCGACATGTGGATCAGCCGCACGTTTCTCCGAATGCTCTCGGGCAGCGCCGCCAGCGCCGAGATGGGCGTGTGTGTCGGCGGCACCCCCGCCTCGTGCAGCAGCAGGTCAGCTGGCTGGACGGAGCAGTCGGAGCAGAGCGAGGCCTTTCGCTCCGCCGAGAGGATCCCGCGCTCCTCCAGCTGGTCGAGCACCTGCGGTGCCACGGACGTGTCGTGGGCGCGTCGTGGCCGCGTCTTGGACGTGTCTGGGACGTGTCCCCGCCGCCGGCCGCACGCCTCCGGGTTGAAGCACGTGTCGGCCGAGTAGACGATCGAGCGGCCAGCGAGCTCGGCGCGAAATCCTACGAGCATGTCGGGGACGTGTCGCGGGGCCGTGTCGTGGACGCGCTTTCGCGGGGCGCGGCGGAGAAGGTGCCGATGCACGGCAGGATGTGCAGCGAGTAGAAGAACTTGATGGAGCCGCCCTGGAAGTGGACTGGTTCGCCGATCTTGACCGAGTGGAAGGAGAAGAGGCGCTGCAAAAAGTCGGGGCTCATCCCGGAGACGAGCGCATACCTGCGGCGCGGGAGGGTGGTCGGGTCGGCGTGCGGACCAGAGTCGGGCAGAGGCCCGGGGTGGCCCGATCGTGCGCAAGTGATCTCTGAACTACGACGATCATTATTATTAGATGGGGGCGTACTTGCGCACGAACGCGGCCATGATCGTGCGCGTGGTGAGCACGGTCACGCGCTGCTCGATCAGGATCTTTTGGAAGGTGCCCGCGTCGTGGTCCGAATGCGTGTGCGTGAGGATGACGTGGGTGATGCGGCGAGACGAGATGCCATTGAGCCGCAGAAAGTGCGCCGAGTGCGCCGGTGGGTCGACCAATACCCCACGGCCGCGCATCCAGAGGATGAAGCCCGCTGTCGCCTCGCTCTTTGCGAAGCCATCAGCCGCGCCCAAGACGGTGATGCCGAACTCGGGCGCCTCGAACGCGGGCGGCCCGACTGAGACGGTCGGCATCAGCACGTAGGGCGGGTCGGGCATCGCAGACGCGAGCCAGTCGGGCACCGAGGCGACGACCTCCCCGTCGGCGAGCACGTCGTACCAATCGCCTCTGTCCACGATGGCGACCCACCCCTTGGTCTCCTCGAACTTGAACGCCGCGGCGAGCGCCTCTGGCTCGAGGCCGCACGCAATCTTGTGGCGCAATGGGATCACCTGCAGCGGCAGTCCAGCCCCGCTGACGGCTGGGGCAGGCTGAGGCGGGCGAGTGTGCCACGCGCAGGTCTGGTCACCTTGTCGCCCTCCTCGGGCCTCTCCTGGAAGGGCTCGAGGGCAAACAGCGTCTCCACCGCGATGCGGCGGCCGTTGCGCGGCTCCTTGAAGAAGCAGATCTCCTTGTGCAGGTCCGGCCTCGCAGCGTAGATGGCCGGGTCGCAGAAGGGCGAGTACTCCTCGTCCTGGAAGTACTGGTCCGGTGCCGGCCCCTCGAGCGTCTCGTGCATCACCTGGCGGATCTCCTCGAGCGCCTCGGCAGAGCCGACGACCGTGGTCTGCGAGCCCTTGAGGAAGAAGTTGTAAAAGCCCGGGAACTCGAAGTCGGCCATGTTTGTGCCGAAGCGCAGGTTGAAGCGCTCCTTGCCAACCACAAAGATGCGAGGCACCTGGGGGCCACCGGGCGATTGGCTTTCGCGCGCGCTGTTCGAAGAGGGGACATGAGGTGTCGGGGAGATGACGGCGGCGGCTACTGGCGAGATCACCTCCGCCCCCAGCTGCATCGCGTCCTTGATCGTCTCGGGCGGCGCGCCGAACTGTATCGGCCCGTGACGCGTCTCGCAGACCGCGCCGCCCCGCGGCAGCAGTCGGATCGCGCTCCTGGTCCGCGCGCTGCGCAGCGGCCCGTCGTACAGCGCCGCCTCCTCCGCCGGGCCTCGCGAGCTGTATTGCGCGCGCTTGCGGCCGCGTCGCAGCATCGCGAGCAGGTCCTGCTGCACGGGCGCGGCGGCGTTGGCGGAAGTGCGCGACGGCACAGCCGTCGAGAGGCGAGGCCCAAACGACATCCAGCCGCTCGACACCGCAGCGACGTTGCGGAGGGGCGCCATCCGCCGCAGCCCACCCGACAGGCCAGAGAGGCCGCCCGCGCTCGCTGACCTCTCCTTGCCCAGCCGCTCGAAGAGGCTCCCGCTGCCGCTGCCCCACGCCTTGCCGCGCCTGTCCACGGGGCTGCGCTCCTCCGCGCGCGCCGGCTGCGAGAAGAAGGAGCGCCGCTCGCCGTTTGACGACCGGTTTGAAGCCGCCTCCTCCTCCCCTCGCGGCGAGGATGTCGTCGAGCCGCCGAGCTCCAAGTTGTGCTGTCGGTCCAGCCGCTGGCGAATGGAGGCCGCCTCCTCCTGAAGCTTCTCCAGCTTTTCGATCAGCGCCGCCTTGTCCGCAGCCGCACCGCTGGTTCGCGCCTCCCGTGCCTTTTCTGCGGTGCTGCTGCTGCGTGCCTCGCCTTTGGGTGGTGGGGTGGAGGCGATGCCCTTGGAAGGCAAGGGCGCGACAGTCGACGTTTCAAGAGACGCCTCTCTGGAGGATACATGGGGCGGCGCTGTCCGCGTCTTGCCTTTGCGCGATGTGAACCGCATTGGGCGGATGGAGGAAAGGAGCGAGCCCACCCAGCTGAAGGCGCCTCGACGAAGTTTTTCTTTTTTCGGGGAGAGGCACACTGCGCGAGGGGTCGCCAACGGGTACATCGTGTCTGTGGAGAAGTTTGCCTTACTGGGCTAGTTCAGCAGAATCCCCAGCTGGTCAATCCCCGCCCTCACCACAGCCCACTCCGTTATATATAGCTCGTCATCCTTGATTGAGCACTTGAGCACTGGATAGGGTCGATTCCGCATCGTACGGGGCCCCTCGATTGTCTCGCCCTCCCTCACTGGTGTGCTCATTGGGGGGGGGTCATGACAAACACGGCACAGCCGATCGAGGTGCGTCAGCATCACACCCTCCGAGCCTCCGTGGCTGCGTCCTGCGGCTCCCCACCGCCGCGCATGGAGGCGCCGCGCATCTCGCCCATCCGCCCCCTTCCGCCCTGGCCGCCTCCGTCACCGCCGCCGGAAGCCGCCGCCCTTGACACCAGTCCACCCTCGCCGCCGCCAACCCTCGCCCGGCCACCGCTCTCGCCCCCACCACCATCGCACAGCCGCCCTCCCCACCGCCACCCTTGCCGTCGCCCTCGCCTCCGCCGCCCTCCTACCCCTACCCCTCGCCCCTCGCCGCCGCCCTCGCCGCCGCCCTCGCCGCCGCCCTCGCCGCCCCCTCTGGCCCTGCCCGCCGCCCTCGCCTCCGCCGCCGTCAGGCATGCCGCCACTCTCGCCCTCGCCTCCAGCCACACCGCCACCGCCACCGCCACCGCCACCGCCACCGCCACCCCCCTTCCCCACCGCTTTGTTCCGCCGTGTTGTCTTTGAGGCCGTAAGCTCGCTTGGTTTGCGGCCACGTCAACACCGAGCCAGTAGTGTAGTCTGATGTCTGAGAGAGATTTTTAGCAATACCAAACAACTCTAACTTTGATGTCTGTGCCCGTGCTAGAATTCTTTCCGTGCCAGTCGCGTGCCCAGTGCCGTGCGAGGGAGCGGTGCGGAAGCAGAATTCTTTCTACTCTCGTGAGCTGTGAACAGACGCATTTGCCTTCGGGGGCAAGTACCCAAATCCCTTTGTTTGGGCGTGCTTTCAGAACATAAAAATTCTTTTCCAGCTCGCGTAAATCGACACGATGAACGAGTGGGCGGTCTCGTCGGAGAGTTCGGTCCGCGCGGCGCGCGCCGCGGCACGCGCGGCCGGCTGGCGGCCGTATGTTCTCGACGGCAAGGGCGAGGGCAAGGGCGACGAGCAGGTGGAGGCGGAGCTGATTGCCAGGTTCTACGACGAAGGAGGTGAGGCGGCCGCTGAGGGGTCAGCGAGCGGCGCCGCCAAGCCCTGGGCAGAGGGCGAGGAGGACGAGATGTGGCGAGCGATTCCGCAGGCGAAGCTGCCGTGCGGCTGGTTGCAGCTGCGGCAGCCAAACGGTGAGCCCGCTTGGGTGCACCTCGCCTCTGCGGTGTACTCGCTCTCGCGCCCCGTCTCCATCCCGGAGGAGGCCTCCCTCGACTCCACCGTCCCTCTCCCGCCGTTCTACGAGGCGGCGCTGCGGCAGGTGCGAGGCGACGGCCCTGCGGCCGCCGCTGGAGAGGGCGCAGTTGGCGGCGGCGGCGACGGCAAGACGGGTGGCGGAAATGGCGGCGGCGGTGGCGGCGGCGCGGCCTCGAGCGTCTCGCAGCCACGCGCGTTCGCCCACAGGGTGCCTTCGTCGCTTCAGTGGCTGGTCTCTCAGCCAAGCAGCCGCCAGGAGCAAGACAGAGAGAGAAGAGGCGAAACACAGTCTAGCCAGCGACTGGACACCGGCGCGGTGTGGGCGGAGGCAGGGGCGGAGAGACGGCCGCACTGGAGCGACACACAGAGACACAAAACAAGTTGCTCGGCTAGCGGAAGCCACACCTCCACCCCGAGCATACTCGCGTCTCGCGTGGCAGGAGCACCAACAGTGGTCGGGCCAGCGCGGCGACGGCGAGGCGGCGGGCGGGAGCGCCAGGCGACAGAGCGACGGCGCCGACGCGTGGGTGATCGACGGCAAGCCGCCCGTCTCGCTGCTCACCGAGTGGGTCGCCAAGGCGTGAGCTCCGCTGTGGAGGTTGTGACCTCGGCTGATCTCGGCTGATCTCGGCTGATCTCGCCTGATCTCGCAGGCGATGAGCTCGGCCGTGGAGATTGTGACGACGACGGAGGAAGACGCGGTCAATCCGTTCCTCACGACCGTCCTCGTCGAGGGGATCGTCGTCGCGCGCGGCGCGTCGAACAACAAAAAGTCGTCCCGGCAGGTGGCCGCGCGACAGGTGCGCATTCGGGTTCGGAGTCCGTTGCTTTAGCTCCGCAAGGCAAGGGCACACCCCTCCCTCCTCCTCTCGCGAGGGTCGAGGGAGGTCTGCTTGCTCCCAGGCGCTCGCGGTCCTCTGCCCGCTGATCGAGCAGCCGACGGAGCTGGGCAAGGGGATGGACGGACTGGTGTGGCGGGCCGGCCACGCCGTCGCGGGGCTGCGGCGAGGCGCCCCTCACGCCCTCTGCGTGCTGCGAGCAGGTTGGCGGGCGGCAGGCCATGGTGGAGCGAGCACACGGCAGCTTTGCGCACATCGAGACGCTCGAGGCGGAGGCGCGCGGCCCCAGATGCGGAGCATCTCCATATCTCCCCCAGTATCTCCCTCTTCCGTGAGCCGAGCGGCGCCGAGAGCGCCGTGAACCGAGCGGCACTCGCTATATTCGTAGCTTGTGTATTCGCGCGGCGCTCTGAAGACACTGCACGATGCCTCATCCCCGCCGCGACCTCGGTGTGTCCTCAGCGTAGGCGCTCAATCTCCCCCTCTCGGACGACTCGATCCTGGACGCGCAGGCTCTCTGGTAGGCAGGGCGAGAGAGGCCGGCAGGGGCGAGAGAGGCCGGCAGGGGTAGAAGGGAGAGGAGACGCACGAGCGACGCGGCAGGAGAAGGCCGCGCCCGTGCTTGCTTGCGCAGCTCCAGCGTGGCCTCCTCCTCTCCTGCGCAGGTCGGGAAGACGCCCGTGATGGTGCTGCAGGAGCACTGCCACAAGCACGTTGGCAAGCTGCCCGTCTATTCGGCGGCGCAGGCGGGGGAGGGCGAGGGAGGCAACTTGCTGCATCGCATCACCGTCCAGAGCGGTTCGCGGCTAGCTTCAGCTAGATCTCTGGCCAGATCTCGGCTAGATCTCCGCTAGATCTCGGCTAAGCCTCGGTAGGCTCGCGGCTCGCCTCGGGCGTGAGCGGCACCAAGAAGCGCGCTAAGCAGGCGAGATCAGCCGAGATCAGCCGAGATCAGCCGAGATCAGCCGAGATCAGCCGAGATCAGCCGAGATCAGCCGAGGGCGTGAGCTGCGCCAAGCAGGCGGCGCCCCCCCGGCAGGCGGCGGCGGCGCCACAGCCCAGTACAGCCCAGAGCAGGCACCCTCAGCCCGAGTCACTCCCTGCAGGCGGCGGCGCTCGATATGCTGCGGCAGCTCTACCCGCACGTCGAGCGGTGGGGCGAGCTTGTCGCGTCGACCAACTCGCGGCAGCGGGAGGAGA